TAAAAGCAAATTCCACGCGATCAGCTGACCCGCGGGTGGCGGGACCCACTTTCAATGTCGATGCCACCTACCCTCTCGAAAAACCCTTACTACTAAGGGTTGACCCTTTTTAGTGTAGCGGTATTTTTCTGCCACAGGCGTCAACCAATCATTTCACGTGATCGAAATTCTGCCAAGAACTTCGAATATTCGAATATCGAATACGAATAATAATCCCCTAAATATTTTCAGATTCGAATAAGACGATATAAAGATCTTTTCGAATACGAATAGGAAAAATTCCTATTCCATTCCACCCCTAATAAATTGCGACTTGCTGTTTCTGATGGCAGCAACCCTGATCTGTAGGATGATATAGGTCACTCGCCTTGGGACTAAGCATTTTACATTAACGGCCCCGCCATGAACATGATCTTATGGAGGTCTAGCTTCTCGTAAGGATGCAATTCGAAAAACAAATCCCCTTTGTGTGCCTCAATGATGGGTAGAGGGGGGATGTATCGAGCCATTTGCAGTCAAAAGAAGATTCATATCTTTACTCAACAACCCCGCCCCCCGTAATCATATAACTCGTTAGAGGGTTTAGTGCTGCGAAGAGTTAAATACTGCCCAGAGTTCCAGCATTTTTGGTACACAGGTCTATTGGACGGAAGTCGGACGTTTCACATAAGTGGCAGATCAGCGATGGCCACTTTTCTTCCTGGTTTACTTCCTGTGTCTTTCGGATTGAAAGGAAAAAAGAATTGAAGATTAGAACTAAAATAAGATACTTTCATTCAGATGCTGATAAAGTTTGATCTAACATCCATTGTGGTTTCCATTCTGCGACATCGCCTTGACACGCTGCATCAACACATCTGGCGAGGCTTCCAAAGAAGAATTTCTTGCCTGTGAGGCCAGGCCCATAATGTGCATACTTTCCAGAATTTGTCATTATCGCATTCGGCGAAGTCGGGATCGTTGGCTCCTTGATCATGCACCAGCAGGTATCAGTGATGAATTGGACACCAAACTCCTCTAGCTCTCTAATCAGCCCAGCCTGGCAAGCTAACCCATAACACGAGCGTCCACATGTCACCACAACTGCGACATTCTCCAATTTCGCACGTCCTCTGCAGAGTCTTGCAAGCATTCTTATTTCCTTAAAAGAGAAGTGCGGGTTTCCGAGTGAGACCAGGTCAACCGACTGGTATGTAGAGGCACTGTTCAGTTTGTTCCAACACTCAACTAGTTCCGCTGGCCCGATGCTGACGAGTCTTATTTCCGATCTGTTGTCGAGAGTATCCTCCAAAACAGTTGCTTCTGGAGTGACACCGACAATATGAAACATCGGTGCACTAGACAATGTGGCAAATGCCGCCCCAAAAGCTTTCAGGTCTTCCTTTGATGGCACCAGTGTCTCTATGCCAACTATCACCGGAATCTTGCTTAAAGCGAGCCCTCCGACACAGTAGCCTAGAAGAGGATAAAATGAATCGTCCACACACTTGGTATTTTGAATACCCGAGACACTCACAACGAGCGAGGCCAGTCTGTTGATGTTCATATGGGGTCCTCCCTTCGGTGCACGACCAGTCAGTGCAATTGATATGTCCAGGAAATCGGGGTATTTCATGGTTCTCGCTCCCAGCACGCTATTAGCGTACACAACGGCATTTGACTCGGCCCATGCCACCTGTTCACCATACTTTGGCGCAGTGCCGAGTTGATACGGGGCACAAGTGAAGGTGGGTCGCGCCCCCATGTCGGTGTAAGCCTTCGCTAATTTAGCTGCAGCTTCTCCAAATTCCTCATCCACCCCCTGAGTGCGCCAATGCTCTTGGTCAATTGAGATGGAGTTCAAAGATGTCGGAACCTTGACCTTCCCTCCCAATTCACGGAGCCGTTCTGCAAAGAGAAGCGATCCCGGTCCAGTGTAGACGCAAGCATCTACGTGGACCTGTGTGATATTTATCAATTCACGGGCCCCTAGCAAACGTGCCATCCGCAGAACGATTCGAATTGAGACTCGAGCAGCTTCGCCATACTTTCCTTCGAGGAATGCCTTGTCCATATCTGAGAGATCGATATTACTCGGAAAGGAAGCTAGTGGATGGCTAATATCGCCTAGTGAATATTGGCCCGGTATTTCGGCTTCATAGATATGATCGCCATTGACATGGATGTACTTTCCACTCAGGCTCAAAACTCTGCGAAAGTCTTTGGGATCCAAGGTAACCACTGGGACAGATCTGCCGAACACCTCCTCACAAATCATGACTCCAAGTGTGAGAATATCTTCCCGTCGTTCAAACAAAAGTGCGCTTGGTCCTTTCTTGTTCAAGAGAAGCTCCAGAATGACACCACTGCCAGAGCAGGAACCGCGGCCACCGGGAATGGCAAGGATAGTGTCTCCAAGATATTGTCCGCTTAGTGGATGATGACGATCGATGACCTCGCCTGTCTGTGGGTTGACACCACCCCAAAAACTCAACTCTAGGTCGCTTGCAATAAGCGTACCGGAAGCTTTCCCTTTCACATGCGCAGTGCCCCGAAATAATGACTTTTTAGGGAAATTGCTAGATGCCATTTCAAAGTACTTATTAGGCGCGAAATACTCACGATCTGATAATAATCAAAATTGGCCTCTGTGGGGTATCTGGGTCCGACAGTCAGGCCAATGCACGTGTAGAAAATGAGCACACCAACAGTATTGTAGGCCTTAAATTGTTAGGGCCAGCTTCAGTAAACGAGGTAGGAGATACAAATTCAACTCGAGCGAGAAACTGGCTCGAGAATGGCTGAGAATAAGTAACCTGGTTTTGTTATGTGCACGAACTAATGTCCGTCCGGCCCGGTCAGACCCCGGGTACATGATTCCGCCCCACCTGCATTGCGACGTTTTGTAATCAGCTTGTCCGGTAAAGAAGCACGCGAGCAGCTCACCACCGAGGTGGAGAGCTTTGGCGTGAACGGGTACTTCTTCATGCAGATCGGACGACACCTCTCCATGAATGTTATCGAGATTGGTGCTGGGACCGGGGTTCAGACGCTGCCAATTCTTTAAACCATCACATCCTACGGCGGCACAAACGATGGAGTCCGCTGATGCGTGCAATACAACTATACCGATATTTCGTCGGCTTTTCTGTCTCCTTTACTAGGTTTCCATTATATATATCAGTGTAAGCTGGGGAATAAGACAGCAATACAGCGCATCCGGACAGCGACAGTTCCTTGTGTAGAAGTTCGGGGCTCCGTGCACCGCGGTGGTCAAAGATGAAGGATGGTCTGATCAAGCCTGATGATGTAGGAAGAAGCGAGGTCTTACACAGTGTTGCCTATCAATGTAGATGGTGCCTCAGGCGGTAAGCAACCGGCAAAATGCTTGGTAGGTTGCCTTAGGCATCCAGACGCCAACAAACAAACTAAACAACCACGACCCCATTGTTCCTCCCCAGCTCCTCCAATTCCCCCACAGCCCCAACAAACCTTTCCATCAAACCCCATGCCTCCACCCCCCGAATCCTCCTACTCGATCCCCCAAGCATAGCTTTCAGCTTCCCCCTTTCCGGAAACGTCACAATATGCAAATGCTCCGGCGTCCGCACATCCAGTACCCACTTCGATTCGACACCAGCAATCGGACAGGGAAAACCCAGCCCCGCATTTTGGTGTGTGAACGCACAGCCGAATTCTGTTCCCACGGGCCAGGGCGATGCCCGGGAGACGATCTCTCGGAGGTCGAGGTTGGAGTACGGGAGGGCTTGGATGTGTTGGGTTTGGACATGGGATAATAGGTCTAGGGCGGTGGCGTCGGGGGCGATTATTACCCTGAATGGGGAGAAAGTGATGCATGGCCCGGAGACAGTGTCGATATCCTTTAGCGGCGCGTCCCGCCCACTGGTTACCTGGCCGAACACAATATCGCGAGTGTTGGTTGTGCGGGCTAGAGCCAGTGCCCAGGCTGCCTTCAGGAGAGAGGCAAGGGTGATTCCCGGTGGTGGTGCGGGGAGGGTCATGGAGCGAAGCTCCATGACCATCGATTCTGGCTCGGACGGTGGGGAGGGGGAGCAGTGGCATAGGACGTCGGTCATTTGGGAGTTTTCGAGGGTGTTGCGCCAGAAGGAGAGCGCCCGCGGAGTTACTTGAGAGTGGCGGAATTGGAGGTATGTTGGGAAGGGGAGGTGAGAGTTCAGAGACTGGTTGCTGTTGTTGTATGCGGATGCTAGATCTTCTGATAGGAGGCGGAATGAGGCGCCGTCGTATTGGGCGTGGGTTAACCGGAAGATGAGGAGGTGAGAGGTGGGGGTTTGGGACAGGAGGTAGGGTTGGAAGTGCGGTGAGCCTGGTGGGATTGAGGATTCATCTTCTGTGATAATCTTGTTTGCGGATGCTGTGAGATCTTCGCTGACGACTTTGATGAGTTTGAACTCTAGGTTGCGCAGCACGACTTGCAGATGGGTATTTTGGTAAGGTATGAACACAGTTCGGAGGATGGCATGGTTGCGGACGAGAGCATGGAATGCAGCCTCTAGACGCTCTATGTCGATATGAGTTGGTAGACGGAGTTGAGAGTAGGTGATGTCCTTTTCGACCATGAGGCGGCTTTGAAACTCGGTGGTAGGGACGATATCGACCACGTCCTGCTTATTGAATGGGTAGGGTGGGAGTTGGGCAACAAAGGATTCAATATCAGTGATCCCGAGCAGGGACCCGGGGGTATATTCAGACGCAACATTGGCTTCTACATTGCTGATGAGCTTGGCCAGGTCCGATAGAACAGGGTTATTGAAAATGAATGGCACCGGAAGATGTAGACCCTGATGACGAGCAATGGCTGAAAGCTTCATAGCCGCGAAGGAGTCTCCTCCCAGATGGAAGAAGTCATCATCTGCCCCAATATGTTCCACTGAGGTTTGCAGTATGTCTGCCCAGAGAACTCGGAGCAGCGTCTCTCGTTGAGTTGCTGGCACACGCTTTGCAGACTGAACCTTGGAGAATGTCTGTATTTGTTCACGAGAGAGGGCCGCCGCTTGCTCACGCAGCAATCGCCGGTCGACCTTGCCATTGGAGTTATGTGGGATCTTCGATACTTGAAGGATAACACCTGGAACCATATACTTTGGAAGGAGATGTCGCAGCTCGATTGTTACTGTTGCGGCCTTGGCGAGGAAATCCGGACTGGGAGACATGAATAGTGCCTCGCTACCAGGACTGGGATAGGCGATGAATGCCATTAAGGTTGGAGAACCACCGCTTGGAGCAACTACTTCAGCGGCGACTTCTCTGGCATCAGGGAACAGCTCTCGCAAATTTTGCTCTACCTCGCCAAGCTCAATGCGCTGACCGCGTAGTTTAACCTGGGTGTCTCTGCGGCCGATGATGCGGAGGCTACCGTCGGGGTTGAGCTGGAAGAGATCTCCACTCCGATATAGCCTCGTAGTGCTACCGGACCTGAAAGAGCTGAGCCACGGTGGCATATTTTCGATATAAGCCGCAGCAGTTTTGCCGGTATCACGGAGGTAGCCACGGGTAACTGTTGGGCCTTCGATCACCAACTCTCCAACAGCACCCAAGGGAGCTAGACGGCTGTGATCGGACGGCATGGTGATCCATGCTACGGCGCCAAATATTCGTCCAATAGTGCCTTCTCGCCAGCCGACAGCGGGGAGACGGCTCAAAATATTGCAGATGGATGTTTCGGCCGGGGCGTATGCGTTAAGCAAATTGACTCTGGAGGCCCAGATGCGGATGTTATCCTGTGTTACTGGCTCTCCTCCAAGGACCACGGTCTTTACTCCAGGGATATCATCTGGCTGGATTAGACCCAGGAATGAAGGCGTCCAGAAGGTCCAATTAACATTGTGCTCCTTGATGAATGGGATGACATTGTTCATGCGATCGAACTCGGACGGTATGCAGACACAGCCACCATGGACAAGGACGCTGAATACCTCACAGAGACTGATGTCGAATGCATAGGAAGCAAAGTGCAAAGCTCTAGTATTTTCGTTGACATAAAGACCAGGGCTGTGATGTCGAATACTGGTGCAGATGTTGCGGTGCTCCATCACGATACCTTTTGGATTTCCTGTGCTTCCTGAAGTAAATGCGACGAAAGCCGCATCAGTTGGCTTGATTTGAGGTGCTATGAATCTCTCTGCCCTATCTGTTGCATTGAAGATAGGAACGGTGATCACTGATACGTCTGCTTCAGCCATCAGGTTTTGGTTCGCAGCTGAGACAATGACGGATCTGGCGGCTGTGCGTTGTAAAATCTCCTGAATGCGTCCCTTAGGATGGCTTGGGTCTATGTTGACACAAGTGGCTCCGATTCGGAGGACTGATATCATGGTGATGATGCTCCACTTGGAGCGCTCAAAGCACAGCGGAACCAGGGAGCCTGGCTGGATACCAAGGGCCTGAAGATGCTGTGCCAGTAAGCCCGATAGTACGTTTAGCGAATCATAAGTTACCTCCCCGTCCCATGAAGATATCGCAGAAGCGTCAGGACGCTGAACACACTGCTGAAGAACAAGATCGTGCACGCAAGAGTCGACAGACAACGGGACAACGGAATTCCACTCCATCATCTGCCGGTGGTCCTGAGGACTGACAAGATCAAGATCACTTATTTGAAGGTCCTTCGAGACATCATTGGACAATTGACGGAGAATATGCTCGAATTGCTGCACCATCCTAGTCGCGTCCACTCGATGGACCACTCTCTCGTCAAAGTTGACGATGACAGCAACATCGCCATTGTTCGCAAGGTGGCAGACCATAAAGAATGCAACACTCGCAAAAGCAGAATAGTCCTCGTGCTCGCTTCGCACATGCGCCATGGTATACCCGTCTTGCTCGCTGGAACCAGAAGACTGGATGACAAGTTGACATTGGAAACTGCATGCGGTCGCCGGTTCAGGGCCGAGCTGACGAATGTACTGCAGGCCAATTTGTTGAAACGGAATCATGGACGCACTTCTTTGCTGCAGAGATGTCAATAATGTATCTACTGTATCACCGGGCCGGACATGAAGACGCATGGGGACAGTGGCGAATGTCGGGCCCGCGATATCCTCGATTCCTGGGACAGGCGCGCTGCGTCCGTTTACAGTCAGTCCGTATAGAACCTCCTCAGACTCCGTGTAGCAAGACATTATCACCGCCCAGGCTAATTGAATCAAGGTAGACGTGGTATATTCTGTGTTGGCACGGGCGGGGTTGGAGATGCGATGCTCGAGAGATGAGTTTGGAGCAGGGACATGCCGAGGAAATGGCAGGGCAGGGAAAATAGGGGCACTCAAGCCGGTAAATTGCGACTGCCAGAAAGCCTCTGTGCCCTGGACGTTCTGGATGTGTTCAATAAAGTGCTTGAAAGGCCGTGGTTGCCGGGGTTCATCGTTACGATACGATGCTTGGACTTGGCTCCACAGAAGTGGCAGTGACCAGCCGTCATACAATGCATGGTGCAGTGTGAGGTGAAAGCTGCCGCTGGCCTTGACCATGGCGAAGTGAGCCAATTCGTCGTCTAAGTTCATAATGGGAATTTTCACTTGCTCATATTCTTCCTGAGTCTCAAATACATGCCAGCGGATGGAGTCGCGGACCACCACTTGAAGCATATTTGAAGCATCTAATTGAATGATGCGAGTGCGCAGGATAGCATTGCTTCTGAATATCTTGTCCCACGCACACTGGAACCTGACCAAGTCAATGTTAGCGGCTAGGTCGTAGTCGAACCTCGCAATGTATTGACCAGGTGTCTTTGCTGTCAAGGTCATCAAGCCCTCTTGTAGGGGTGTGCATGGGTAAATATCCTCAATATCGTCCGTGGAAATATGGCATCTCTCGGCGGCCAACTGGATTATAGTCTGTGGGCTCATGTCATTGCAACCAATCAAGGAAAAGGGCAGAACATCAGACTTGAATTGAGTGGCATCCGCCCCCGACGCAGCAGCCAAATCACACAACTTGGGATTATTGAAGATATTGGTCATATCGAGGGCATAGCCAGCGTCCCGAGCAAGGGGAATAAGCTTCATGGCGATAATTGAGTCTCCTCCTAGGCGAAAGAAATGATCATCTATGCCTATCTCCGAAACTTCTAGATTGAGAACCTGGGCTAACAACCGTTGAAGTACGATTTCCGCTTCAGTGGAGGGCAGCCTTTTGGTCGAGCTCGTAGAACTGAAGCTGTCAATTTGCTCTCTTGTAAGCGCTGCTGCTGCCTCCTTGAGAGCTCGTCGGTCTGTCTTTCCAGTCTTTGTCAGGGGGATGTGATCCAGAGGAACGAACATTGTGGGCACCATGTACGTGGGTAGAACTTCATCGAGTCTGGATAGAGCCGTGGCGATGTCTTTCTTGAAGATACCGCCAGAGATCCCAAAGATACTGAGATCTGGGGAAATGGTTTCACCACGATCTTGCAGAATAAAGGCCATGAGCGTCGATGGTCTGCTTTCTCCAGACGGCTTCACAACTTCCGCAATGGCATCCTGAACGTTGGGAAAAGATTCACGCAGATGAAACTCGACCTCGCCGAGCTCGACACGCTGACCACGAATCTTCACCTGGGTGTCCTTGCGGGACACATAGTGCAAAGAACCATTCTCGTTGTACCTGACTAGGTCTCCTGTTTTGTAAATAGAGAACTGTTGGCCGCTGACAAGCTCTCGAAGCCAAGATGGTGATGATATAAATGAAGCGGCGGTCTTCTCGACCTGATTAATATAGCCGCGACCAACGCCTGGTCCCTCGATCAACAGTTCGCCCACGGCTCCAAGAGGCAGCAACTTCTCATGGTCATTCGGGTCGACGACCCACGATCTACAGCCCACAGCTAACCCGATATTGCGTCCACTGGTGGGTTCAGAAACAGGATCCGTCCCCACACACATGATTGAGCATTCAGCAGGACCATACGCAAGATGGAGATCCAGACTATCCTGCCAGGCCCTGAGCTCCTTCGCAGAGATAAGCTCCCCAGCTAAGACCATGGTTTTCAGGCTCGGGAAATCGGCCGGGTCTAGAATCCTTGCCACAGAGGGGGTAAGGAAAGCCCAATTGACTTCCATACTGGCGACAGCTCGCGGGAGGTCTTGTCTGCGCTCGCTTTCAGACGGAATACAAACACAGCCACCATGGATGAGGGTGGTAATGTTTTCATACACACTGGCATCGAATGCATACGAGGCAAACTGGAGCACCCGGGACTTGGAATCGAGATTGAGAGCTGGCCCCTGGGCAAGAGCAGCGGATGAGAAGGCTTGATGCTCTATCACTACTCCCTTGGGTTTGCCTGTTGAGCCGGATGTGAAGAGAGCGCAGAAGGCATTGCGTGGCACTACTGTCAGCGGAGACTGGAACGTAGTAACAGACCATTCTTCATGGTCGCTGATAGTCACCACATGCTTTGCAAGTGAAGCTGCAGTGCGTTTTTGTGTTTCAGATGAAATGATCACAGAAATTTGGGCATCATCACTCATCCCTTTCAGACGCTCAAGCGGATATGATGGATCCAGCATAATAAAAGCAGCGCCGGCTTTCATCACACCGATCATAGCGATTATTGCCCAGCGAGACTTTTCGAAATAAATTGCAACAAAGCTCTCCTGACAAATGTTATACTGGGAAAGTTGACTTGCCAATGCAGAGCCTAGACGGTCGACTTCAGCATATGTAAAGTCGCCGTCCCAGGCACAGACAGCCTGGGAGGATGGTCGGGCCAAGCACTGGTCCTGGATGAGATCGTGGACACACCGATGAGCAGGTGAGAGCGTCTGTGGGGTGTAGGTTTCTAGATTCCTTTTGTTCAAGGAACCAAATAAGCTGAGCCCGCGAACCCTTGCAGTGGCATCCGACATGATGCCGAATAAAGCCTGCTGGAACGCATCGATCACATTTTCGGCCTGGTTGTCAGGAAGGAAAGATGTCGCATATAGCAGCGAAACGTCAATGGATTTTTCAGATACCTCAATGTTGACACCGAGATCGTACTAAGAAGTCAGTGGAGATTGATCTCATTGAGCTGGGGTAGCTTACCTCAGTACCCCCCTCTGTCTTGAAATCATTGAACGTAAGCGTCAATTCGTCCGAAGGCTCATCCTCTTCCCTCTGCACAGACATGACCGTATTGAACAGCGCGGTATCAAATACTTTTGAGCAACGCGTCTTTTCTCCAAGCGCCAGAGCCTGATGCGTCAAGCTTTGCACAAAGTCTGCTTGGTTCCGCTCGAGCAAACCAAGGACTTTCTCCGTGTCCTGTAGAGACATATTGCAGATCAGCATGTTGATGAACGGGCCTACAGTGATATCAACGTTTGGGATTGGTACATCCCGTCCAGAGGTGACATAACCGAAACACGCGCTGTCCGCATTGAGATATGTTCGTAGTACAAGCCCCCAGGCTAACTGAAATGTCATGGCCAAAGTCACATCATAGTCAAGACAAAATTGACGAAGCGCTTTATCAAACGGCAGCGTAATGTCGACACGAGAATGAACAACTGCATCGTCTGGCTTGGACGATCCAGGGAAAATGCACGGCTGCACGTCGCGTAGATATTCTTCCCAGTAACTACGAGCATCATCCAGTGGCTGAATCGCAAGATACTCGAAATATTCCCTATAGGTTGCTGGGGAAGTTGAGGTAATCTTATCCTCGTACGCCTGGCACAAGTCGCTCCAAAAGATCTGACGAGACATGCCATCTACAACAGCATGGCTAATATCTAGCAAACAGGCCGCCTCCCCTGAGGGAGAGCCGCAAATAATAAGACGGGTCGGCGGTCTTAATGGCATTATCGCAGGGAGCTCATAATCCTCGAGTTTCTTGAGCGGATTATCAGAAGGAGGTAGGATGACACACACTTCTTCAGATGGAATCTCCTTCAGGACGGCCTGATTCTGTGACCCATCCTGGTGGGCACTGTCAAAAAAGACCGTTCGCAGAAGCGGGTGTCTTTGAACCACTTGCTGCCATGCTCGCCTCAATCGCTCTGGATCCACTGGTGAACCGTTACGTGTGTGCAGTACCCACGACCATCTGTTGCGATAGTGGAGAAAGTTCCGCCCCTGACTTAACAGGATACCTTGCTGGATAGGTGTGCATGGATAGGCGTCCTCGATGTGAAGGTGATCTTTCTTTAGCGGCAGGATGACATCTTGGATGAAACTTTCCAGCTGGGGATAGGTATATGACAGCAAAGGAAAGTCAGAGAGGGTCCATGTTGTCTCCATGGTTGGTAAAACAGATGATGCCAATTCCAGACCTTGTTGAAATCGTTCCATCCATAATTTCATATTTTGCTGACGGTTCATCCGATTGACAGCAAATTTGATCACCATGTGCGAGTTTCGCACCTCAGCTGTGATCTCAATGTGGGCGAGATGAACCGAGTTCTTGGAAACGCATATGGGCTGCAAGAAAGATGTGAGTTGTGGCTGAAAGTCAAGTTCACGATAGTTCAACACGACTTTCGGAGAACCAGCAGTTGAAATTGGATGATTATATTGGCTCCGCCTTTCGTCCTTAGTCTTCCGTATGATGTTGTATATGTCATCTGTCTGGGTGACAGAGACATCAATTGGAGACAGTGTTAAGAAGGATCCCACGGTCCGTGCTAGGTCAGGGTTGGAATACCGACCGTCTTCTTGATTGAAGATAGTGGGTGTTGGGCAACCTGCAAAGGTCTGAGTAAAAGACTGTAGGAGCGTTGCATTCAGTAGCTCTATTGGTTTGGTATTGAAAGTATCGTTTGCTGGGCCTCGCAGGGCCTGGGTGACTTGCTCTGAGAGACTGAACTCGTATTCGATGGTACCGGCCTGGACATCAAACTCTCTGTCAACTGTCAGGGCAGTTGCCGCAACTGCATGCTTGGATTGGAGCTGACACCAAGTTTTAAACCCTGATGTTGATAGCAGTGGAGAGCTGTTTGCTAATAGTGCTTCGAGGTCCATAAGAATGATTCTCCAGGAGAAGATGTCAATTATCGATTGGTGGGCGATCAAGCAAAGGAAGCTTTGTCCGTCTGCCTCAATTTCGATTCGGTCACAGAGGAAGACGTGGCCTTTCCGAACATCAATGTCTTTTTGACGAATAGAGACAAAACCAGTTGGGTCGAGGAATGGGAGAACGTGCGATTGATACACCGAGTCCCATTCGAGAATTTCGGAGATACTCTGGCTCCATTTCCCCTTGCTGGTTTGATTGAACCTAGCATGGAGCATCGGATGATTCCCAATGATTACCTTCAGGGCGTTCTTAATCTCGTCGGAGGATATCTTCTTGCCAAGGTGAAGTACAACACTCTCGTAGCAGCGATTGTATTCTTTTGCTGTTTCGAAAAGCATCTGCTGCATTGGCGACAAATCAAACGCCACCTCCTGTGTGCCAGCCTTTTCAATGGCCGAAAGGGCTCCATCTAATGTTTTGCTGAGCTTAGCTATTGTCTTGGTCCGGAAAATGGTTGCAACAGTAACTCTCAGACCCCTGTCAGTGCATTGCGCAACAACCTGCATGGCGCTGATGGAGTCGCCTCCTAATCGGAAGAAGTTATCATCCAGTCCGATAGACCTTGCTTCCTTGTGTAGAATTTTGGCCCATATTTGCTGCATTAAATGCTCTGTCTTTGTGGAGGGGGGTCTTTTGGTTGAACCCTTCGCCTGTGCAGAGTACAGTTGGAAGCGAGAGCTGGATAGACTCCTGGTAACCTCTCGCAACCGTCGGCGATCCACCTTTCCACTCCGGGTCAAAGGGACTTCTCGAAGGGGCAAAAACATGCTAGGTACCATGAAGCTTGGAATGAGGTCTGAGAGTTTGCTTTCGACTTGTTGAACAGCTGCTTTGAAGGTCGGCCTAGGTGATAGGAGCATAGTTATCTCCTCGTCCGAGGCCTCTGGATCGTCAATCTTATCACCATCGTCACATTTTCGGAACGTGTAAGCGACGAGAATTGGCGAGCTGCTATCCTGAGGAACGATGATTTCGGCAATTACCTCCGCTGACAGGTCAAGACAGTTTCGAACATGATACTCGACCTCCCCCAGCTCGATGCGCTGTCCACGAAGTTTCACCTGCGTATCTCTGCGTCCAACATACCGGATAGTACCATCTGGGTTATACTGCACCAGATCCCCCGTCCTGTAGAGCCGGCCTGCGTCACCTTTTGTACGAAAGTCCCGCAGCCATGACGGCGTCGCTATATAGGACGCGGCTGTCTTCCCCGGCTCGCCCAGATAGCCCCTAGTCACGATCGGACCCTCGACCAGTAGCTCCCCAACAGCACCGATGGCTGCTAGTTTTCCTGGGTTGTGGGCATCTGTCACCCATCCCACGCTGCCATACATATGACCAATCGTTCCCGACCGCCAGCCTTTGGGTGGAATAGGTCCAACGGTGGTGAAAGTGGCTTCTGCTGGTCCGTACGCATTTATGAGAGTCACTTTGTCAGCCCATTTGTCTACAGGGTCGCGAGTCACGGCTTCACCCGCAAGAACTAGGGTCTTCAGCGAGGGAACATCTGCGGGACCGAACAGACTAAGAGTTGATGGGGTCAATAGAGCCCAGTTGATTCTCTGTTGGCGGATGACGTTGGCCAAATTGTTCATCCTGTCCGATTCTGAAGGCACACAGACGCAGCCTCCCTGAGCCAGCGTGTTTAATACCTCGTATATACTCACGTCGAATGCGTAGGACGCGAAATGCAGTGATCGAGAGGTGCGGCTGAGGTTCATGGGTCCGCTGTGTGCGAGAATACTCGTGCTTAGATTGATATGTTCCATGACTATACCCTTGGGAGTGCCCGTACTTCCAGAAGTAAAAAGAATGATTGCGGCTTGGTGAATTGAGACCTCTGGAAGCCTTATGCAGAACGGTGGTAGACTATGGATTAATGTTTCTGTGATCAGAATAACTTTGCTTTCCAGATCTTGAACGACGCCCTCATAGGTCGCGGATGCCACCAGCAACGGCGGGGATGTTTTGCTGATAATATCTTCTATCCGTCGACGGGGATGGCCATGGTCGATGAGCACGCATACGCCGCCAGCGCGAAGAACAGCCAGCAGTGTTACGATCGTCCATCGAGACTTTTCCAGACACACAGCTACTCTTGACTCCGATTCAATGATTCCAAAACTGAGCAGATACTGTGCCAACCGAGCGGAATAATCGTCAAGTTCAAGGTAAGACAACTCCCCATCCCACGCGCAAACAGCGTCAGCATCGGGCTGAATCATTCTTTGGTGTAGGACGATACCGTGAAGAGTTTTCTCGCTGGCTGCTGGAATATCTCTATTCCATTGCATCAACTGCGCCATATCATCCGTGCTGGTGTTATTTAGGCTCTGGATTTGAAGGCTTTCATTTGACGGTGTCAGTTGCTGCACAATATGGCGTAGCTGTTGCAACATTCGAGTCATTTGAATCTCATCCACCACCTCCGGATCGAATGTTGCCTCAATTTGAATGCTGTCGGGTGATTGCTTGCAGATCAAAGTGATAGCATACGAGCTGAATGCGTCCAACTTAGAAAGGTCCTGAACAGCAGAAAACATGTCCGGCAAGGGCTCCTGCTCCGGTTGGATAACCATCAAGCTTTGGAACTGACATGCAGCTGCGGCATCAGGTCCTAGACGGCTTATATTTTGCAGGCCAGCCTGTTCGAATGGGACCGTATAAATAGAGTGATTCTGTACCTGAAGAAGGCTCTCCGCAATTGTATGCTCAGGGTCAATGTGCAACTGGATAGGAATTGTGGCGATGGTTGGACCAGTCATTTCCTCGATATCCAGTACTGGAGCACCTCGGCCAGTCACGGTGATACCGAAGACTATGTCTGGACTATCTGTGTAAAGAGACACAAGAATAGCCCAGGCCAACTTGAGCTTGGTTGGAGCCGTGAAGATACTGTGGGCTGCATCTTGCTCCACTGGGATCACACAAGTTCTTTTGACTGTTGGATTGGGGATGTATCCCAGATGTGGTAGCCGGGGAAAGACAGCAGCTTGCAGGTTGACAAATTGCTCTTTCCAAAACCGCTCTTGGGCATCAGCGTTGCGAAGGATGTAACTGATGAATCCATTGAAGGGCCGGTGCTGAAGAATCTGGCCGTGATAAGCTGCTTCAACTTGCTTCAGAACCAAGGGAACTGCCCATCCATCACTCAAAGCGTGATGAACCACCAATGTGAAATGGTTCGACGGGCCTGAACTAAGTAATAGTCTGACAAGACGCTGTCCAGCATTCCAATGTCTATCATAAGTATTCGTCGGCGCCTCCCAGGGAACTGCTTCTCGAAGGACTGCTTGGTACATTGCACCACTGGTTGTCTGCACGATCCGTGTACGCAAAATAGGATTCGCTTGGACAACTGAATTCCAGGCTTTTTTGAACCGATAGATTTTCACAGCAACTGGTAGGTCGTACTTGAAGACGACAATGTATGCACCCGGACGCTTGGCTGTTAGCGACATGAGGCCTTCTTGGAGCGGCGTGCAAGGATACACATCCTCAATCTGATCCTGGTCCTGTAGTTTACACTGCTCCATCACGCAGTCAATAATCTCTCCACTTTTTCCTTCTGGTAGGAGAGAGAAATGACCAATGGTGTTTGTCTCCGGGGCATCGAGGTGTTGATCTTCCCTCCCTCCACCAATCTCTTCCAAGGTTTGACTGTAAAGAGTCCCCAGGTCGAACTTCAATCCTTGCCGCCGTGCAATACCGAGCAGCTTCATTGCAGTCACAGAGCTTCCTCCGATACCAAAAAAGGTATCGTCCAGTCCGACTTCATCGCGAGGCAGTCGTAATACCTGAGACCAAAGGTGCTGAATGGCCCGTGTTGTGGCGGTAGATGGTTGTCGCTTGTTTCCAGACGAAGTGACATCTGTATAAGCCTGGAGTTGCTGTCGTGTCAGCGCCGCAGCCAGGTTGCGAAGCTGGCGGCGGTCACTTTTACCACTTGTCAGCAATGGCATCGATTGTAGCGGTAGAAAGACTGTCGGCATCATATATTTTGGAACTAATTTCTGAAGTTGACTGCAAGTAGTCTGCGATTGTTCTCGGAAGACGTCGTTGGGATTCATGATCACTTTATCAGCCTCGATGTGTGATGACGTTTCTTGAAGAATGAAAGCGACCAGTATGGGCGAGTCCGCCATATCGGCAGGAGTGACCATCTCGACCACGACGTTGGCGATGGTTGGAAATAGGCGTCGAATATGGAATTCAATCTCTCCTAGCTCCAGGCGTTGCCCACGCAGCTTGACCTGACTGTCTTTGCGTCCTATGTATCGGATTGACCCATCTTCCGTAGCATAACACGCCAAATCTCCGGTCTTGTATAGCCTCCCCGAAGCATTGGGCCTGAGCTGACGATGCCAGGTTGGGGGGTCGATAAACACAGAAGCAGTTCGCTCAGCATCATTGATGTATCCACGACCTATAGGAGCGCCATCGAGAAGCAGCTCGCCAACACTGCCAATTGGAGCCAACTGGTTGTGATTATCCGGGTCAACAATCCAGCATGTGACTCCTGCTCCGAATCCAATGTTTACCGGGTCTGGATCGTCAACCAGACACTGTCTTGCCATGCAGATCACTGCACACTCCGTTGGACCATACGCCTCGAAGAACTGAACATGCGGTGCCCATTTTCTCATATCTTCCTTCTGCAGCGCCTCCCCTCCAACAACCAGGGTTTGCAGAGTAGGAAACTCTTCGACTTCGAGAACGCGCGCTAATGACGGCGTGAGAAACATCCAGTTGACTTGCATGCGACGTGATGCAGCGGCCAGATCGTGCTGACGCTCGTCCTCGGAAGGCACACATATACATCCACCGACTATCAAAACAGTCAAGATCTCGAGTAAACATGCATCAAATGCATAGGATGCAAACTGAATCACCCGCGATTGGTCATGCATATTCATCGCGCGACTGTGGGCGACGGCGGTGGTAGCAAACGAACGATGCTCGATCACCACACCTTTCGGTTTCCCAGATGTCCCCGAAGTGAAAACCGTGTAGGCGGCGTTTCCTGGCTTTACAGCTGTGTGGATTCCCTTGCCGTTTTGTGTCCAGTCGGTCTTCTCATCGTCGATAATGATCGCTTCTGTCGCGAGCCTAGCTACTCGCCCCTCAGTTTGTTTCGATGCGATCATTATAGTCGCCTTGACGGTGCGGAAGATCTCGTCTATCCGCTGAGTCGGATGGGAGGGGTCGAGAAGTACAAAAGCGCCACCCGCTTTGAGAACGGCGAGCATAGCTATTGGGGTCCAAAGCGATTTCTCAAGGTATACAGGAACAAATTTCTCCGGGCCTACTCCACGTGCAACCAGCGCAGATGCCAAGGAGGAAGCCAGCACATCCAATTCGGCGTATCTCAATTGACCATTCCAGGCGCAAACCGCAGGGGCCTCTGGCTGTGTATCGCAGCGAGTTTGAATCAGGTCATGGATGCAACATTCCACTGATTGTGGCGGCGGTGTATTCCACGCCTGCAATCGCAGTAGTTGTTGGGCGTCGATTTCGACCGATACCTCTTGGCTTTGTATTGTAATATCGGTTTTTCTAGCCTGAGCGGCCTCGTGACTAACTTCCAACTGCGCCATTTGGTTGTTTATGAAAGAGTTTGGCAATGTAAAATATTATAGGTGAAACTATTGATGCAGGAACTTGAGGGTATTTTGTAGTGCTCTTTCAAGCGATGACTATAAACATATATGCGCACGCTTCTACTTGAGGTCTTTTGGATCTGCCTCATACTTTGCTTACTAGCTTCCCCTTTCAGTATCCAGCTCATGCACACTAAATCAGACTACCCACTGTCCAAGCAAGCTCGAAGGCACTGCGCTGACTCCGCCGGCTCACCTCGTCAACAGGTGAATTGTCCTACTCCGCTCTCTATTATGGAAACGCCACCATCCGTAGGAAATATTGCGCCTTTAATCTCCTAAAACAGGTTTTGCCAGTCCCCAGATACCCATGTCTTGATACCTATACTCTATTGGTGGAAAGACCTGATCTGCATAATGCCCCGACCCAGCATGTGCATTTATGCGTTTCCATAGATCGGCGAACGCCGACTATTCGATCGACATGCTGAATGTAACATTTTCCCTGACACTTGTTGCACTAGAGTGTGATATCTTTGCGTATGGAGCTCAGCTACAGGGAATAGATGCACTACGGAATTGATCCCCGACATAAGCCCACATCACAGGGCCAACGGCCAAATCAAACGGCGAAGAACCCAATAGCGCAATCGTTGCGTAACAGGCGCTTATTAAAAGCGGGGGCTAGATTAGATTGGATCTGCTGTGGCAAGATCGATTGATCATTAAGGATTCATAATTCAGCTGGGAGGGGTAGTTAAGGATTCGGGTCTCGGCACAAGAATTTTCATTTCGAGGGGAAGCTAGCCTTAGAACATGGGTCTTGTGCGTACTGAAGGGTACTTTTGCTAGATTTGCGTCATTTTTAGCAACACTTTCGCCGCTTCATACCGAGAAAAGCTAGATCCGCCGCGGCCTGCAGGACAGACCTGAGTCGCTGTGAGCTGGACACATACACCGTGCGTTTGGCACCTGGAATCGACGTACTTGATCGTCCTTGTATTCTTATTGACAGAAAATCACGCAAGATGCAAATCTAAGTCCCAGGACGTAGAGTACGCAAGCTACGCACCTCTATCTTAATCCACGGAATATTTCCCAGGTTTGGTCTTCAGCTGTCCCAAAGACGCCGCTGGAGAAATTGGAGATTGGCGTAGTCCCACATCCACTTCTGCAGCGACGAGTTGGAGGGGTATTCAAGAATGGCTCTAGCTTGGACTTTGCATCCAGAGCATCTCTAAGCTCCTGGCACAGCTGCAGGTCAGCAAATCAGGGTTGCAATCTAATCCCATTGCCATGTCGCATGGACATCCAAGCCAGTCTCGTATTTACAATCGCGGTCTAAATGAACACGAATTCCCAGAATTGCCAGACCCAATCTACCAAGCACACTAAATCACCCCAAAATGTTGAATGACCCATCCCTTCCCTCCGTGGCTCTGCTTCACGACATTCGTCAGTCAGCCGAGCTGCTCGATTTGAGGTCAGGCGTTATCTCCGGGCTGGCTTCCACGCCCAAGCGAATACCATCCCTTCTCCTCTGGGACGACCAAGGGCTCCTGAACTTCGAAGCCTGGACCAAGAGTCCAGCATACTATCCCAAGAACCGGGAGCTCGAAATCCTGCACAACAACAGACACGAAATTGCGCGCAGACTACCAGACCGGTTTGTGCTTATTGAGTTGGGCTGCGGGTAGGTTGAAATTCCTCTTTAGTTTTCATGTACTAACTGAGATAGAAATCTCATCAAAACGGCGTCCATTCTCTCCGCGCTTGAAAAAGACCGTCAGGAGGTACACTACTATGCGCTGGATGTCTCTTCGGACGCACTTCGCAAGAGCCTCGGTGCCCTGAAAGAGCAATTCAAGGACGCTAAAAACATCCATGTCTCGGGGCTCATCGGTACCTACGAGGACTGCGCAGACTGGCTCGCTAGTTCCTTGCCCGCTTTAACCGTGACGTTCTTGTGGATTGGCAACAGCATCGCGAATCTACGACAACAAGACGCCAGCATTCTAATGGGCAAATTCCGCCAAGCATGCCTCAGGATCTCTGCCGAATGCAACTTCCTGATCTCAGCAGACGGCTGCGCAGTCGAGGAGAGGCTGCTGAAAGCATATTCCCCTAACGAGCAACCATCGCGAACCTTTCTATTTCACGGCCTACACCATGCTAACCGGTTACTGGGACGAAATGCCTTCGACAAGAATGACTGGGATTGCATTTGTGAGTACGAGAAGGAACAAAATGAGCTGCATTTTAGTTACTCCCCGAAGCGGGACTTGGAGCTGGACATTGGGCTCTTTAGTGTTGAGTTTACGAAGGACGAGAAAGTGCCCTATTTCATGAGTGGAAAGTGGAGCGAGAGCCAGGTGAGTGCAATTGCTGAGAATGCGGGCTTTCATGTTGGGGATGTGTGGAGAGATGTGCAAGATGAATATAGTAAGTTTAGTCCTTGGTTGAGTTCCTCTTTCGTGATGCTGATTCTTTCTCCAGGATTTTATCTTTTACGGGGGATCTGATTCTGGTACGTACATTTAGTCTGATTCGATTGAGGATATTCACTTCAATGATATTCATTTCTAGAAAAGATGGAAGTGTAAATGTAACTAATTGGAAAGCTGCAGTGGAATAATGCTTTCGGCATATGTGAATACAGGGGCGTGTATGGTGGTGGTGGTAGCATTGATTAACTTCTGGCATAGAAAGGCCGAACCGTGAAATCTATGAATCCGTCCAACCCAACACTATGACTCTGACTTCTAATTCGAGAACCCCCTAGTTCCCCAGGGACAAACACAAATTCAAATTCAAAGACATAGAGAAAAGGGTCTGTGCAAAGGTAAGCCCTAAAATTAACCCCTCACCCACCAAGCGCCGATCTTCATGGACTCAACCACCGATACCACCGATATCATTTTCATCTCATCCAAAATCGCCACCCCGGCTCGGCCCGCCAGATCCAGACTTAACCACGAGCCAGGTCCTCGATTGCTTATGCAGGCAGGCATCGACATATCACATTAACTAGACCAAATGGGGCGTAGTAGAATCTGTACGGCTGATTGCGTGCTGCAGAGTGGCCCACCGAACAGGGTTGTGGCGGGGTTTCACATTGGTGAGTGAGGACATGGGTTCAGTTGGTGAGGAGATGGTGAGCGACTTCTTTTATCTTGATCAATTATGTATGTAATTATTTGATATTTTAGGTGGTCTATCGAGATTGTATGCAGTCTATGAATGTTGTTTGGATGAGACGTCTTTACTGGGAGTTGATCGGCTTGGATTCCGTATTTGCGGTGCGGTTGGGCAATGTCACGATGTATATAATGTGAATAGAAATATGGCTAGTCTCCAGGAAGCCAAATTGAAATCCGGTGGTGCATAGCTAGCACTACATAATGACGAGTCCTATGGCTCATCATCTTCCCCAAAGATTGGGCCATTCGTGCCACCCACAAAGGGCCCTGGAAGTAACCTTGCCCAGGACCCATACATCACGCATGGAGTACACTCCAGACAATTTTCAGCTCCGGAGCACTTACCACCTTTATCTGAGTAAAATTAGATAACAAAGCTAAGCAAGTCACGATTCTTAAAACCCAAGCACAGTAGCCAGCCAGCCACGTACATGTACATCAGTGGATTCGCGGGGTCATTGCATAAGTGGCGCCTTATGAGGTACGCAATACAGACCAGAGTACTGTCGATGTGACGAATTTACTTTCAGCAGCTGGTCAGCGGAGATCTGCATGGTCTGGAAGTGGCCATGGTAAAATCCCTGCACCGGCTAGGTGATTTGCCATCTGATATATTGGGTTTGATATTCTTGGATTGTAGGTCGGTTACTCCGAGGGATATCCAGACTTGGTGGTTGCTAAGCCAATCTAGCAGGACGCGGGGTATAAGGTTCTAGGTGCACATCCGTAGTCTGGATATCAATCACTATTGTTGTCGTTTCAAGATGACTGTTACTAGTATTGTCAATGACAGTAAGATCTTGGTTGATGATGCTGACTTTCGCCCCCCCGACCGTTTCGCAGCCCCGCTTGCCGTCAAACCCCCTTTCGTCAGTATCCACACAACGCGAAATGATCCTGGTACCGAGTTTGAAACACTTGGGAAGGATCTCACGGAGGCCATGAGCGCCTATGTAGGCTATCTGAGGGACGAGAAGCTGCCATTACCCTCTTTGGACCCAAGTGCAGTGGACTCCCCAGCAGTCAAGCATGCAGACGGACTAGCAAGCAAAGACAAGATCATCAAGCTGGCGCAGGAGATATGCGCGAGGACGATGGATCCGAAGATGAATCTTTTGATCAGCTCGCTGCAGGTACTTGCCGTTCCTTATTCTCAAGACGCAGCTGACATGATAGTTTCACTTTTGCTCGTGTCTGCAAACGGCTCTCCACCTGCGTGTCCACGACCACATCCCGAAGAATGGAAACGTGGCGGCTAGGGACCTCGCTACTGCCGTTGGTGCGGAAGAGGCACTGCTGAGTATGTCACCCTTGATCGCAGAAAGAAGGGTACTGACAGACCAGCGCGTATCATGCGCGTCCTCACAAACAAATACATCTTCGCCGAGCCCAAACCAGGCTACTACTCTCATACAGCGATGTCCTGGATGATACGCGGGCCCAACGAGTACCACCTTCTGGCACACAGGTAAGAGCACCTACGTAAACTGACCACTCAATCCACCCTAACGCCCCCAGACTCGATGAACCTTTCCGCGCCGCCAGCCGCCAAGCCGACGCCCTCGCCGCCGGGGGATACCGCGAGCCCCACAGCAACGACCCCTTCGGCTTCCACCTGGCGTTTAACACCCGGCGTAACTTCTGGGGCTATCTGGCTACCGAGGACCTCGAGCGGGGACAGCGGTTCGCGCGCGCGATGCAGGCCGTCAACCTGAATACCCTGGACGTGATACCGGAGATGTACCCGTTCAAAAAACTGGTCGCGGACGGAGGCGTGGTGGTCGATGTTGGCGGAGGGTTGGGGCAGGTAGCCAGGAAGATCCAGGCCTACTATCCGGATAGTGGGCTGCGGTATATTGTGCAGGATGGGTTTGCCCCTATGGATTCCACCACCGACGATGCGTCGGGGGTGGAGATCCAGCGGCATAACTTTTTGGAGCCTCAACCTATCAAGGGTGAGTCTTTTGTCCGCCTTGTTGTGCTTTGCTTCAATTGAGGGAGTCAATGGTGAGAGAAATTGCTAATGGCTCAGGCGCCGCGGCGTACTTCTTCCGACACATTTTTCATGACTGGCCCGACAGCACATGCGTGCACATCCTCAAGCAGACGGCGGAAGCCATGGACGCCACCCGGAGCCGCATCCTGATCTGCGATCAAATCATGGACGAGGCATTGCCGTCAGTCCCGTCGATGCTGTACGATATCGACATGATGACGCTGTTCGGCGGCAAGGAGCGCACCCTGCGGCAATGGGACGCGCTGCTCAAGGCGGCAGACGAGAGGCTCTATGTCAGCAATATAGTAAAGAAGATGACCACAACGATCATTGAAGTGCGTGTGGGGGATACCAAGTAGATAGAAGTATTGAGTCCCAGTACGCAATATATATATGTATCGGAATTGGCATTCAACTTAAGGAGAGCTCCCGGGTTTGAAGTGCCTTTCCCACCACATTTGTAATTGAGAATATTTTTTCCTCCCCCTTAATCAGAAGGAAACAAGAGCCTGATTCTCTTTAATTGGGGTTTCTTGAATGATCAGGTGTAGATTTTCACGGAGTAGTAGGCGAAAATCGTGAAATTTTGGACTGCCTACCTAATTTACCCTGTAAAAGGTTTAATCCCTTCTCAAGTGTGGCAGAAAAATACCGCTACACTAAAAAGGGTCAACCCTTAGTAGTAAGGGCTTTTCTAGTGTATATACGCGGCGACATCAAGTCTCAACTTGGCGGGGTATGTTAGTGGACCCTTGCTAAATCACTGGAATAGTGGATCTTGGCAATTTGAGACGCGTTTTTCTCCTTTCATGAAAATTTGCTTGACATCTCCACTCCGTAGGTTGAGCTGGCAACAACCCTCCACCAAAATGTATTCGGCTACTCCGTATTATACAGTAATTGTTGTGATGTGACCGATATGCCCGAAAATGGCTGTTGGACACGTAAATTGTACCATTCTTGGAGTCGGAATTTCTTCGAAAAACATGGACGTATGTGAAATCAACACAAGACAATTCAATCTATTTAATACAAGGTATTTGTTAGAAAATACATGATTAGAACAAAAAATATCCACATGGACATCGGAAGCGCCATGGTGTTGTAGAGTTGGTTGATAGACGTGGTAGGATTGATGTTCATCCCTGTTTCTGGGTCATTGGGGAGAAATGCGACCGCATTCTGATGCGATCACCAAAGCGAAGGAAAAGAATTGGGATGGGAACCAGTGCCGCTGCAACACAACCAAGTAGTGTACCTGCCCACTGAACGCACATTCCGCGGAACATCTGTGTTGCGAAGAGCGGGAATCCAGCACCACACAGTGATCGAAGAAACGTGTTAGCGGCAACGGCAGAAGCAGCGTACATTAGATACGCCTCAATCAGGTAGTTGAGACATTGTAAAAAGATAACAAGTAGACCGAGACCGGTTAAGAGCCCAGAGGCTGTCGGGACCATCCAATGTGTACGTGAGATACGAAGCAAACCAGATCTGGGGTCGCGTCTTCGCTTTTCTCAGAGTTACTATAGAACAGGAAAGCTGGAGCGTATTCAAGTATGTATCTTTGAAATGGAAACTCAACAAGACATGTTCTGTCATATTCGGAGCTGTAGCTGTATAGTTAACAGAGCCCTTCCCTTCTTTCTTTTTGGCATTGGCCCCTGTGCGTTTGGTACTGGCAGAGGGACGCCCTATATGGCCAATTCACAGTACTCCCGGGATCCCGCTCTTTCCTGGGTTTTCGAAGGTATCAACGTAGATGAGCCCATCGGCGAAACCGGTTTTGGTGGCGGTGCCAGCGGTGATGAGATCGACCGTCTAGACTTCGAACTTGGATCACCGTCAGATGTGATTCTGCTTGGCACAAGCCAACGGCATGATGATAGCTTCAGTCTTTTCAACGAAGAATCGATGTTCCCCATGGTGAACACGCTGGGATCAACCTGTGATTGACTGAGGAGTGACCTGATATATTATGAGACCGCAGGTGCCGGTGCGGTCTTTTCGGTTGGCAGCATTAATTGGTACAGCAGCCTGGGCTGGGATGGTTTCAATAATAGTGTAGCGAAAATGACGGGAAACATACCCAGGGAGTTTATACGGCGAGGAAAGGGGGTTGGTCAACAGCCAGAGGATTGATCGAAGTCTGGAACACCTCAAGCTCGAGAATATTAGCTACCTAACGCAGAGGGGAGTATCAGGTATGAATCTCGTCCGGTTCGCACTCGGAACATCGTCGTATCTGACACCACGCAGACGATCGTTCTAATCGTCCATTCCCAGTCCATCGCCGCGAAACAAGCCGGGGAACTGGAAGCAGCGTCCGCTCCGCCCGATTTTCCGAGGATAGTGATCGTGGAGCAGCAGAAGGATGGATGGGAAGAGGAATTCCGACGGGAGAAGATGGCATACAAGAGGCTTTAAAGTCTGCAGGGGGAAGTGATCCCCAGGCTTCTAGATGAAGGCTTTTTCAATGACAGCCCCGCGATCATCTTTTCGGAGATTGTGGCAACGCCTTTGCATCAACTTGCCCGGGAGGGTACAACTGATGTTGATGGGGAGGCCGTGCCGCGTGGACTCGCCGATGCTCTTCAGGCTTTCTTCTTGCAGGGAGCCAAAGATTGGGATCAGAGACCAGACAATTTCCTATTCTGTGACGCAAGGGCGCTCCGCCAATGCAAAGTGGCGATTGTTGATCTCGAGCAGGTAACCTTTCCCGAGAAAGCCCCCCCTTTGGGAAGAACTGGCTCCCTCGTGGGAAGAAAGCATGAACTTGGCTACGGCCTGTTCGTTGGTGAGGACCTTCAACCAAGTCCGACGTGCTTATTGTGGGCCAGCACTATCGCAATGGACGAGCGGATGTGTCGATCGCAACGATCCCCCAGAAGTTACGGAGTATGTGTTTGTCTAAGGGCCGACCCACCCATAGGAGAAGATTAGTTTTGGCCCCCAGTATACCAGAGTTCTCACGATCCTCGGGCGCACTAGCGGCTGGACTATAAAGTAGCCCGGTCCCCCATGACTTGATCGCAATACATGTGCCTCCCCTCGAGACCCAGCCCCAACTCCCGGTCATTTTCGATCCTCCATAGCCGGGCGCGATCGTGACGGCCGTGAAAATGCGACGCGGGTGGGCGTGGGCGCTGCTCGCCTTTTTGACCGGTACGAAAGGCACCGGGGCTCTCTCCATAAAAATAAAAAAAAAGCCCTGGCTAACCCTGCCGAATAGGTGCGGTCGGTCAAGAGTGCCATCGCAATTTCACCATCCATCCCAACGACAACACCACCCGCCTCTTCGAGTCCTGCTCCACGATTGTCGGAAATATCAACTTCGGCACGAGCATTGACGGCGAACTGCATCTGCGAGGTATTTACAATGTCACCGGCACCATCGAGTTTCGACCGGACCCCAACCGCGACCGCGACTCCCGACCCGTTGTCGAGTTGTTCGACGCGCCCGACCTGTCCCACCTGGGGGGGTTGAGTGTGCACGAAGGCTTCTCGGTGTACGAGCTCTATTTGCGAGACTTGGAGACCGTGGGCGATATCGCGGTATATGTGGACGAATACGCGCTGAATCTGGATCTGGAGTCGTTGGTAGAGGCGGACTCGATCAACATCAGTCGCGCCCTGAGCACGTACGTTTCGCAACCATGTCGCGCATCCCATGCCGGGGCTAATGATGCCGCAGTCTGCGTCTCAACGACCTGCGAACCGTGCATGGCGCCCTCACCATCGACTACCATGCGGCCAACAGCAGCAGCAACGAGCCTGCGAGTTCTAATGATGGCAGGATTGACTTCCCTTCACTGGAGTCGGCGGGGTCCGTAAACCTGGCGGGCGCGACGCAGAAGTGAGTACTGCCTTTGCCGCTCAGAGGAACGAGAGTCTTTGGAATGCTGGCCTGCTAACGCCACCCATCTGCTAGCATCACACTCGACCGATTAACGACCGTCGGGTCCACAAACGGGTCAGGATCCGACTCCGGGTTGACTCTGCACCTGGAGAAACTGGAAAAGCCAATTCACCTGGATCTGCGGAGACTTGAATCGGTGCGAGACCGGCTGAACGTCTATGGCAATGTCAAAGAGTCTGTTGCCTTTCAAGCCACCTCCTCTAGATCGATCCACTGACCCCCCGGCGAATTTCCAGAGTCCACGCCCCCCAACTCACCAATTTCACCGCCATCAACATCACCTCCAGCACCAATCTCGACTGCGATGCCTTCCTTGCCGCCATTGAGCAAACAACGCGGTATCCCGCGGATGGATCGTCATTCGCTTGCACCTCCACTCCCTCGAAGGGTCTGAGTACAGGAGCCAAGATCGCTATCGGCGTCGTTGTTCCGGTGGTGGTTATTGCCGTTGCCGTGGCGACTATATTTGTCTGTGTGAGGAAGAAGTCTCGAAGTGAGAGTCGAGCGAGGATGGAGTTGAGCGGGCTGCAGGCGACGGAGAGGGAGCGCGCCGATGCCGCCACACCCCCGCCGCCGTATTCTGCGCATGGAAGGTAGATTTGTGATATAATAGCATTGCCTGTAATGTATAGTGTTAATATCTTATTGCAAGAAGATCTGTCGTGCTGTGGTCAGTCCATGGGGAGATGGCCTGATCCAGATGCCTGAATTCCCCGGCATTCCACCGGACGGGGTTGACTGCGGACAAGTTGGCCTCATCGAGCAATGCGATGAGAGGAATGCGATGGTCCACTATGGCCCAATTTCGTGTGACCATCTGACCGGGTGAACTGATCGTTTTCCCCGCCTCCGATCGTATGATCCCCTCGATCTCACCCGATATACATACATACCACCCACTCCGTACCCATCTTCAACCTCCATCTTTCCCTACGATTTCCTACAATTGACCATCGAGACAGAACTATGACGCCGAATACTGTGATCGTGATCGGCTCCGGCCTCGCCGGCCTCGCTAGCACCGTCCAACTGCTCGCCCAGCGTGTCCCCGTCCTGTTGCTGGAACGATTCGCCAAGCCCGGGGGAAACAGCATCAAAGCCTCGTCCGGAATCAACGGGGCGCCGACGCGATTCCAATCCCTTCCGAACCTTGACAGCGTCGCTACGTTCTACGCCGATACGGCCACTTCCGCCGGCGGCCCATTGGTCTCGGCCACCGGGGCGGAGAGGGCCCGCCGGGAAAAGCTCATCGAGACACTGACGGACAAGTCGGTGGAGGCGGTCTCTTGGCTAACGGATGAGCAAGGAGTGGAACTGAGTCGAGTGACGAGGCTGGGCGGCCATAGCGTGGCCCGGACGCACCGGGGTGCCGGGAAGAAAACACCGGGATATGATATTGTTAGCACCCTGTTGAATCGCGTGAGCGAGGATGATCTGTTTCGCATGGAGATGGGTAGGAGGGTGACCAAGCTGCTGCGAGAAGCAGACGGCGCCGTGACGGGGGTGGAGTATACGCTGGTGACGGAGAGCAACGAAACGGTCGTGGAGAGGGCCTACGGGCCCGTCGTGGTTGCGACGGGGGGATTTGCCGGGGATGCACGCGGGTTGTTGGCGCAGTATCGGCCCGACTTGGCCGGCATTCCCTCGACGAATGAGCCGCGCGAAGGGACGCAGCCGCTGCTCCAGGAGATCGGCGCCGTCGTGGTGGATATGGACCGCGTGCAGGTGCATCCGACGGGGTTTGTGGATGGCGCGGATGCTGAGGCGACGGTGAAGATTCTGGCAGCGGAGGCCCTGCGCGGAGAAGGCGGTATCTTGGTGCAAGGGGACGGCAGGAGATTCGTGAATGAGTTGGAGACGAGGGAGAAAGTGACGGGCGAGGCGATGCAGCGGGCGGGTCGACTCCCAACGGAGGTGACGCAGTGGGATATAAAGCTGGTGCTGGACCCAGGGACCGCCGCCGCCTTGGAGACGCATCTGGGCTTTTATATGTGGAAGGGTCTGATCCGCAAGACGACAGTGGGTGAGCTGGCGGGCGAAATGCCGGCCCTGGAGAGCACTTTGCGGGACTATGCGGACGCCGTAGCGGCAAGGAAGAAGGATGACTTTGCACGCGAGTCCTTTGGGAACTGGACGCTGATCGACGTGACGCCGGAGTCCGAGGTGTACGTGGGCAAGGTGACGCCGGTGGTGCACTTCACCATGGGAGGCGTCGTGATCAACGAACGTAGTCAGCCCTTGGATCGTCACGGCCGCCCGATCCCGGGTCTCTGGGCAGCGGGCGAGATCACCGGAGGCCTACACGGTCAGAATCGCCTGGGGGGATCGTCGCTGCTCGAGTGCGTCGTGTTCGGCCGCATTGCCGGAGAGGAAGCCGCTGCTTTCTATTCAGGCTAGGGGGGCTACTACATCTATATCTGGCATTTTCTTTACGGACTTTTGGATTGAGTAAAATAGCAGGACAGTTGTATAACATCAAGATGAGATCGGATATCAGAGCACATTCCGACCGGGGCAAGCCGTTATATACCCTAAGAACCCTCCGGGGCATCCACCTTCTTCGGCTCGACCAATTCAGCCGTACCGGACTGGAAACTCCATCGCTTCGTGCTATCGGTGCCCCATTTGCTGTTTTCCTGGAGGAAGTACCAGTAGCCCACGCTGAAGAAGGCATAGGTCTCCGGGTTTTTGCGGATGAGGTCCTGGTGGGTGTCATCCCCGGTCTTGTCCCGCTTCGTCGGATTCTCCAGAAGTTCTCGCATCACCTCCCAAAAGTCTGGCAGGGGTCAGCCATGGGAGAACAGCCTCGTGTTGAAGGACTTTCAGCACTTACAGGTAGTATCGGGCGTGTCGACACTGCCGAGCACGAGATGGAAGAGTTCGTGGTAGAACGTCACGCTCCGGGAGAGGACATCCGTGATCACCTTGTTTCTAGGGGTCTTAGACCCCAGCGTGACGCTGCCCTCGGGGTTGGTGAAGGCGGCCGGGCACAGGGTGATGGTCGAGGGCCTGGTCTGATCCTGAGCCGCCCCGACGCTGCCCGAGGTACAGGGCGTCTTGCCGTCGTAGTCGCTATCGAAGATGTACTGCTTCAGATCCTCGCTCCAGTAAGGGACATACCCGTTGCTTACGACCTCCCCCTCCTCGGTCTGGCCCCACAGCATGTTTCGATAATCCGGAACATCCTCGATTGGTATCTCGCTCTCCGAACCATCCTCGTTGATCTTCTTCAAGTGGTGCTTGCTGTCGCCATCATAGGCCGAGTCCGTCCGCCGGAGTTTCTTGAGCCATGTGTCCTGGCAAAACATCCGCGGCGTTTCGTCCAACGCAAGCGGCGTTCCCTTCAGGAACTTCTGCACTTTCTCGAGGTTTCCTGTGGCGCTGTCAGCAGCCGGGCCGAAGACTGTCGGATGACGGGTCAATGGGGGAACTTGCCCTTGACGGTAGACGTTCCAGGCCCCCCCGGGCTTAAGTTGAAGTATGTTTTGAGATACCGGGCGGCAACGCCGTACTCGTCGTTTGATGTACTAGCTGCGTGCTCGAACGCCTTCAGGCCGGCCTCGACCAAATCCTTGCTTTCAGATAGCCATGTGGTAAGCGTTTTCGACCGCGATTGGCAGCCGGCGTTCTGATTGTCATCTAGGTTAACCTTGAACAGGGAAGCGATTGGGTGCGCGGGGGTTGTGTCCGAGATGGCGGGCACAATCAGCAGCCAGCAGAGGAAGAACGACCGGAGGTCCATGATGGCAGTGATGGACAGCACGCAGAGAAACAAGAATGCGCCGCTGAGGGGCTTTTTTTTGTCTTATGCGTTCACCACTCCTCTACTTGGTCTGGTCCGGTAAAGACTGGTCCCGTCACTATACCACGGACTAGTCTTGCGGTTTTGATTAGACTGAGACATGAAGCCCCAAGTTCTTCGCGCCAGAGAACATCGGAGATTACCAGATTGCTATTCCGTACGGAGGAGGTGTCCAGGAACAGACTACTACTGCCCGGTCCACCGTCAGGGATTGGGTACTACTACTACTAGTGTCCGCACTGGAGCATCGCCTCGATCTCTTGTGGTTCCTGGCCCCCAGACGCTAGAAAACCCTGCTGCGGTATCCGTATTAGACTGAGATACCACGAAGATTCGATGAAAGCGTCCTTTGCCACTGCCGGTTTATCCGTTGGCGAGTGCTCACAAACCCGCTAGAAACCACCCATGGAAGTGGGCCAATCCTCCGGTTCGGCTCAAGACTGACCTCGTAGCAGAGGCTCATCCACGCTTTCGAAAAAGTATGTAAGAAGACCAGGTGATAACGAGCCCGCATCGTTTTGGCGACGGCAATCTACCTTGCTATTCTTTTCTCGTTCTACGCAAACATGGCGCCCCTGTCGTTGATCTTCCTGACCACGGCGCTAGCCCTGATGGGCGCCCAGGCATCCTCCGGCTGTTGGACCGCCGTCCACAACGAAACCGTGGCCTGCTTTAGCGGTGCGCCCATTGCTTTTGGATTTGACATGGACACTGCCGCCGACTGCCAGCACTGGTGTGGTGAGGTTGAGAAATGCCACTCCTGGCTCTATGTCGCTCATTCCAGTCAATGCGATCTTCACCGCAACGCGGCGCTGAGCACTTCGTTCAGCAGCGGCTTCACCTTTGGCGGATGTGCGCCCACCCTTGCGAATGCTACCGAGGCTTCGTCGGACGGCCCTGTGAGCAGCAGTACTCGCGTGGCAACGGAGCCGACCGGTTCGGTATAGTCCCCACCCCTTGTCTTTGTCTCACCTGAAAGTTGCGGCGATCTAACGGTGGACACTATCTTTCTAGCCGGAGCCGAAGCGTGGAGCGGATCATCATAGGCGCAGAGCACATGGCCGCCACCACCGATAGGGGCAGGACTAGAGTTGGAGGACCAACGCATGGATAGAGAATGGGATGGTTAGGAATCTTCCAAGTGGTGTGATGGCTCAGGATCGGAGTGGTTTTAGGAGCAAATGAGCATAGCGAATTTTCTACCAGTTTCAGCTTACATTGTTATTTTCCGTGAGGTCCAGTGGATATTTGCGGGCACCCAGCTCAACTACTCCGTAGAAATGTACGAACTACGGAGTCTCTGTAAAGTGAACCAAGCTTCTAGGCCTGACCCCTGAAGGAGGATTGGCATGGATTGGCATGGATTGGCATTTGGAAGGGACTTGCAGGGACTCGCGGGGACTCGCGGGGGCTGACAGCATGGGACCTAAATCCCCTAATATCGCACTATTGATTGCCACAACCTCGGTTCCACTGCGGCGCTTGGCGGCATACTTCGGGTGCGCTAATCCACAGATGTCTGAGGACAGGACTCCGCGCTGTTCTCGAGCCATTGCAGAGATTTCTTAGCCGTCGCCCCAAGTGGAGGGGCGACACGACGGGGCAGCCTAGCGCGGACTGGCCCTGCCCTAAAGCGAACTATATCCCGCCGGAACGTGGATAGGAACTTGGAAACAACACTCGACTCGCTCCTAGCCAGGCGACCAGCCTACCACGCCGCTAGGAAATTCCATGAGGGGATTTAAAGCATCAAAGTCCAATCTCCGGTCTCGTCCGCTGCGATATTGCAACCCGTATTGGGGTGGAGTCTTGTGAGAATGTCTCAGTCTCGCCACGGCGCTCACAGGGACAGGCTTGGAGAGCACGGTAGCATTTTATATGTCAAAACCCAGGGGCTCCTCCAGAGATTGGACTCTAACCAATATTCTCATTGCTGCGCCAGTGACCCCTGCGATGAAGTTGTTCCTGGCTTGGGCAACGGTCCTCCTGCTGGCCTGCCGCGCGCAGGCAGCAGCGGTCTTTGCTCACTTCATGGTATGTATTCCCGTGGCATTTATTTTCAGGCCATTGCAGGCGTGTTAATGGGGTCGTGCAGGTCACAAACTCGGCCAATTACACGAGCGATGACTGGAAGACGGACATGAAATTGGCCCAGGATGCGCACATTGACGCCTTTGCCTTGAACATGGCGTACAACGATCCTAACAACATTGATGCTCTGCCTGCAGCTTTCTCCGCGGCCGACAGCGTTGGATTTAAGCTCTTCTTCTCCTTTGATTACGCCGGAAATGGCAACTGGCCCAAGAGTGACGTTATCAATCTGATCACTCAATACAGCGCTCACTCCTCTTATTACTTCTACAAAGGACAAGCGTTCGTTTCCACGTTTGAGGGGCCCGGTCGCGCCGACGACTGGCCTTCGATCAAAGCGGCCACGGGCTGCTTCTTTGTTCCGAGTTGGTCGTCCCTGGGGGCCAAGCCCGCGGTTGAAACCGGGGTTGTGGACGGCCTATTCAGCTGGGCAGGTTGGCCCTGGGGTCCTCAGGACATGAACACCTACATCGACGCCTCCTACATCCAGTATCTGACTGGTCTGCCGTACATGATGCCCGTGTCTCCGTGGTTCTACACTAATCTGCCGGGATACAAGAAGAATTGGCTGTGGCGCGGTGATCACCTGTGGCACGACCGCTGGCAGGAGGTGCTCTACGTCCAGCCCGAGTTTGTCCAGATCATCTCGTGGAACGACTATGGTGAGTCCCACTATATTGGACCCTTGTACGACAAGGCGATGGAAGCATTCACAATCGGAAAGGCCCCCTTCAACTACGTGAAGGACATGCCCCACGACGCCTGGCGCAAGACCCTCCCTTTCTTCATCGACATGTATAAGGAGGGCACCGCCACTGTGACGGAAGAGAGCATCGTGGCCTGGTATCGGCTGAGCCCGGCGGCCGCTTGCAGCAGTGGAGGCACCAGTGGCAATACCGCCTCGCAGCTGCAGATTGAATTCCCCCCGGCCGAGGTCGTCCAGGATCGCATCTTCTACTCCGCCGTCCTGGGATCTTTCTCGGGCGTAGTGGTCTCTATTGGAGGCTCTGCTCAGACGGCCCCCTGGAGCTCCGTGCCCAACGAGAATATCGGAGTTTACCATGGCAGTGTCGCCATTGACGGCCGCACGGGGCCCGTCACCGTCTCCCTCATGCGCGACAACAAGGTCTTCGCGAAGATCGAAGGCAAGGCCATCTCCTCCAGCTGTCCCAACGGCATCCAGAACTACAATGCCTGGGTGGGCGGCGCCGTGGGCGGCAAAGTGTCCGCCACGCCGGACCTGCTCCTCTCCAAGCAGACCTGCATGAATGGCACCGGGGCTAACAACTTTGCCGGTATCTGTGAATTTGCCTGCACGTACGGTTATTGTCCGCTGGGCGCCTGCACGTGTACGAAAATGGGACTAGGATATGAGAAACCGAATTCAACAGGCGTGGTCGGCTATCCCATTGCCGGCGAGGACGCCAGCTACAGCGGCCTGTGCAATTTTGACTGTAACCTGGGTCATTGCCCTCCCACAGCCTGTGGCACGGTCAAGGTGCCTCTCACGACGCCGACGGTCTCGCCGTTCCTGCCGCCTGCCTGTACATCCGGCAAGGGAGAGGGAAACCTGGCGGGTCTCTGCGACTTCAGTTGTACGCATGGCTTCTGTCCGATGAACGCATGTACCTGCACGGGTCAAGGCGCTGTCAACGTCTTGGCTCCCACATCTGATGTAGTCGGCAAGCCGGGGCCCGGGATGGATGAGGCCATCTACGGCCCCCTGTGCGAATATACCTGTCAGCGCGGTTACTGTCCTGATCCGGCTTGCGTCGAAGGCTCGAGCGGATCGGGATCATCGGGGTCGGGGTCGGGATCAGGATCGGGCGATGGGGAGGTGTATATTGCGCCGGAGATCTGGGGGAAACCGTCCCCGGTGGTTGGATGCCAGCCCCCATGCACTCTGATCTTGCCCCCATTGCCTCTGGACGAGCCAACTCACATCTCCATTCCCCCCTGGCACACGCCCATCACTCGCAAGACGGCGACCATCCGGACCACGACCGACGAGGACGGGGCGACGGGCACGATTCGGGGCTTCGATGTGACGACGACCACCATCACCATCAGCTTCCCCACCAGTAAGAGCGATCCCTCTCCCCTGTTGTACACCAAATATCTCTAACATCCAGTCAGTCGTGAGGACCGACATTCCCGTCTGGCAGGCCGTCATCAACGCCAGTCAGACCGGTTCTTCCACCCTGGAGATGACCAGCAGCATTGACCTGCCCCACATGATCCAGGTGCTGCCTCCGTACGGAACTGGCCCCAGCGCGACGAGCACCACGACGACCATCACGCCTCCGCCGTATCCGTGGTCCCAGACCAGCAAGGACACCGTGCTCAACACTCGTACGACTACCTGGTCGTCTGAAAGTCCCACTCCTTCGGCCAGCAAGGGGAGCAAAGGTACGGGCCACGGCTGCTTTCCATTCTGTGAAGGGCCCTGCCTTCTTTGTCCCCCTGGCAGCGGGTCGATCAGCGGTGGCGGGGGGTCAAGCGGCGGCAGCGGCTCTTCAGAGGGTGGGGGTGAAGATGAGGAGGATTGCAGCACTCGCACCGCCCAGGTCTGCTCAACGGCCTGCGTGGCGGGCTCCGGCTGTGATTTCCACTGCTCCACCACGACTAGATGCTCCGCAACGGCGTCGTCAACCAAGATCGTAGGCACCCCGCCGCCCGGGGTGAGGATGACCACCACGTGGGAGCATTGGCCTAGTCGCACCAGCAACCCGGACGTTGATTCCAGTATCGCCAGCTCATTAGACTCGGTTTATTCGTCGCTCTACGGCACGTTGTCCGTCCTCTATCCCACTCCCACTAACACCGGTCCCGCCCCCAGCAACGGCGCCGACGCGGGAGGGATCGAAATCACCTACTACGAGGACGACCGGGACAAGGACGCGGCGCAGTGGGACCTGTTCGAGTACTATCAGAATACTCTCCACGGCGGCCGGGGCTGTCCCGAGACCTTCACACCGGACTACGTCCGACACGACGGGGCCTACCATGGACTGGGCGATAACACCGGTGGCTGGAAGGCCTTCGGCGACACCTGTACCTACCATGGCGATAACCTGCCTGTCTCGCCGCCCGGCACCAAGGTTGGCACGCTCAAATGCGATAAGTATCGTGATGCGATCTGTTACAGCCGGACGGGTGGCGGAGGCACTTGTGCCAACGGATGGCAAAGAACTTACCCTATAGTGGTTTGCGAGTGGTAAGGGGAAGGGGTTGCGGAATACTGTACAGATTAATAGACAACAACAAGATGACACATGCCTTCACTTCCTACTCGCCGATTGGACCCTAGATCTAATCATTCAGACAGCATAGCAGCGGCTGAGGCCGTGCAGTTGCCCATCACTTCACTCTTTGTATGGAATATACCTTCGTTTTCGTAGGATTTCGACGACAAAAAAATTTTTCATGGTTTTCCTTCCCCAGTTTCTGTTGGGGAACCTAGGGTTGATCCACGATTAGCGGTCGGTCCTCGCACTCAGCAAACACTTTGAGGTAGAAGACGCCACCTGCGATGTATATATATTCCTTGCCGAACGTGGGATACCACCTCCCAAATAATCAAAAAGCGGCGAATCGTATAGTCGTATATAGCTAGCTCGCACATCACACCGGCAGATTGAATGGTCGCCCAAAATAAGAGCTGAGTAAGACGGGTCCTCTGGTGCTCCTCGAGGACAGAGATATATATCGCGTGATCCGAACGAACCAACAGAAAATGTCGTAAGAACCATGGCTTCACCTGGCTCCTGGGAGAAATCTTCTCAACTACGGAGGGTAGAGCACTCTGCGCACCTCCTAGATACTCTGTCACCAACCATACCCAAGCACAGGAGGCGTTCCCACATGGCGGGAAAATTGTACCCGAACCGAACGGACTGAATCTAGACAGGTCATGTACAGGCTACACATCACATGGAGTTCCAAGACGGTGGTTCCTCGGCCGAGTCAATGGTATTCCGACTGGAATGGGATGACTAGCTCAGCCGATACACAGACGACAGACAACGAACCTCCAAGGAAGCGAGGAAACAGGGACTCTCCTCTCAGGGTCCTAAGGGCTGTAGGGGTCACCGCGTGCAATATTTCCACTGGTCTGGGGCATTCTGACAGGTCGGATAATTAAGGCGACCAGCCTAAATTGCGAAGGGAAGAGGATCACAGGCCTGCTGCGTGCACCGGGCTTCGCATCTTACGACTGGGCTGCGGCCAGTGACCGCTCCCTGTGGCGTCGCCCTTGCTTCCCATGTGGCAATTCCCCCTTCATTTCTTTTTCTCCTTTCCGACTACCGCCAGCCAATGGCCCCCTGCGCATGACCAATATCCAGGGCCGACGGGCCACGCAGCCCGAATTAATTGCTTGGGCGTGGACGGCGGCTCTAGACCGCAGCCTCTCCGAACAGCGTGAGCGACCTTTCCCCAGATCTCGCTAGTTGCAGGATCCCCCGGCGAATGAGCGCAGCGGTGGATGGCTCCTTGCTTGACCAGCTCGGGAAAAGTTGCTGAAATGCTGGCGGTGGTCCAACTGGCCAGAATGCCCCGACTATTGGTGGATAATTGTAGTTTGGCCGGCAGATTTGTCCCTTCCTCCGCGCAAACATGGCAGTCATATTATTAGCTCGACTGTCGCGGTTCATTCGAATGGATTTCGAGTGACTGCTGAGGTGCTGGACGAGCACCAGTAGTACGGAGTAGGGATCGAAAATCTGGGGAATGTGGGGATGGGCAGGGCCCCTAATCGTTGCCCCGTCTTCCCGGTCGTCCTAGTCTCCCTCGCCGTCCTGTCAGTCCCAACCGAACCTGCTAGGGTCCAGGCTAGACCGATTGGGAACGGAGGTTGCGGTGCGGCGCCCCGACGTTCGTGTTGGATCTGGATTCTGGGGTATTTCGGGCCGGAACCCGCATCAGCTTGACTGATGCGGCCTGTGCCACCGACCTGGGATTCGGGGGAACCGATATAAAGACAGCGCCGCATGCCTGTCTCCGGTGCTCCTCCACAGCTGGTCCCTCCTTCCTTGTCATCACCTCGAGGTCTGGTAGACTGCCCACCCATTCACCATGTCGAAAGAAGAACACTCGCGGCACGAGATCGTGAGCGTAGATGCCACGCATCACCAGGCCATCGTGGCCGAGGGAACGGGAAAAACGGCCGCCAACGAAGGTGCCAAACAGAAGGAGGTGTACAACGTGAGTCGAGGAGGATCGATCGGCAGCCCAGACATCGGACCTTCACTGATCGCCTTCTAGGCCGAACTCTACGCGGCAATCCAGGAGTCCAATATCAAGAGATGGAGCAAATCGAGTCTGCAGTTGTACTGTAGGTGTCCCCCACTTGGGCTGGTTCGCTCTCATCACTGACACGAACCAAGGGTGCGTTTTTATCTCGTTCTGCTGCGCTTGCGCCAACGGCTTCGACGGCTCTCTTATGGGATCCATCACCGTGATGCCTCACTTCATGGCCACCATGGGCAGCCAGATTGACGGCTGGCAGGTGGCCGTGATGACCTCCCTCTACTCGGTGTAAGTCCTGCGTGCCCCGCCCGACCGAGAGTGTTGCAACCTGGCGAGAGTCTAACGAATGCTTCGATGTTTAGAGGATCTATCGTCACCACCCCCTTTGCTGCCGCCGTTAGTGACCGATGGGGCCGTCGCATGGGCATGACCTGCGGTGCCGTGGGGATTATACTCGGTAGCATCGTGGCGGCAAGCTCTCACAGCTTGGCCCAAGTGACCGTGGGCCGTGTCATCCTCGGGTCGGGCATTCAGTTCATGACCGTCTCGGCGCCGGCATACTCCATGGAGATTGCACCTCCCCAGTGGCGTGGTCGCTGCACTGGATTTTACAACTGCGGCTGGTTTGGTGGCTCCATCCCAGCGGCCCTGGTGACCTTTGGATGCCAGTACATTGACAGCAACTGGTCCTGGAGAATCCCGTTCATCTGCCAGTGCTTTGCATGCCTGATTGTCATCAGTTCGGTGTACTTCATCCCCGAATCCCCCCGATACCTTTTCGCGGTCGGCCGGGAGCAGGAGGCCATTGACTTCTTGACAAAGTATCACGGAAACGGCAACTCCCAATCGCGCCTGGTGCAGTTGGAAGTGGAAGAAATCCGCGACAGCATTCACCAGGAGCTTCAGGACAAGACGATTGCCTGGTGGGATTACCGCTGTCTGGTTGACTCGCACCAGAGCCGCTGGCGCTCCCTGCAAGTGCTCATGATGGGGGTCTTCGGTCAGTTCTCCGGCAACGGTCTCGGGTACTTTAATGCGATGATATTCAGCGAGCTCGGCGTCGAGACCACCGCTCAGCAGCTCGGCTACAACGTGCTCAACTCGTGCCTGGGAGCCATCGGTGCTGGAACCGCCGTGTCCCTGACGGACCGCATGCCCCGTCGCAAGGTGCTGGTCTACGGAACCTTCGCCACGGCCTGCATGCTGGCTATCAACGGCGGTGCCAACCGCGCGTTCGGCATGGACAACAGCAACAAGAGTGCCGGTCAGGCCGCGCTGGCCTTTTACTTCCTCTTCAACGTCGTCTACTCCTTCACCTACACCCCGCTGCAGGGCGTGGTCCCTGTCGAGGCGCTTGACAACACGCGCCGCGCCAAGGGATTGGCCTTCTACGGCTTCCTGACCGGCTGTCTGGGCTTCGTCAACCAGTTCTGCACCCCCATCGCGAACCGAACTATCGGGCTGAATTATATCTGGGTCTTTGTTGGTTGGGATTGCGTCGAGGCGACGCTCTGGTATTTCTTTGGGTATGGTAACCTCCGTTAAACTCTTCCATGATTTTTTTTGGATTAGCAATTCTAACAGTCTACAGCGTCGAGGCTCAAGGCCGTACTTTGGAAGAGCTCGAATGGGTCTACACCCAGCCCAACCCTGTCGAGGCTTCTCAGCGCGTCGACCGAGTCGTGCAGCAAGCCGATGGCACGGTTACCGAGAAGATTGTCGAAAATGAGTCCTGAGTGACCCCATTACTGCAAGAGCCCTGGCTTCGATATACGTTGCTTTGCTGCCCCTCGGGAGCTCCCTGTCTCACCGTCCTTCATCATTTACGCTTGCCTGTCTCTCACATTTATGATGGTCTTTATAGCTATCCTAGTTTCACCAGCCATACCCTGTCCTCTATTTTAGCAAAGTAGTCGGCGTCTCAATAATTCATTCTTTAATACTACGTTGCTCCCTGTGTACATGAACCATAGGCGCTTTCACTGGCCATCGTCAACCCGTCATTATGAGCCCGGTCATGGCAACATTCGGCTGCAAACGGGATAAGAGTTCATCATGCGCGGCTGGAGATATAATCGGCAACTCTGGGACGGCCTTCGAAGGATTCCCGAAACTTGACGAGAGATTCTGGCAAGGAGGGCTAGTCAGGGGTTGAAATGCTCGTTAATACTGCACTTTCGCATCATGGGATAGGGACTTACGGGTAGTGTGCCAGTCTGCATGTCGTTGTTGATAGATTGATAGATGGCAAAATCTGCATAAGTGACTTTCGGGCCGAGAAGATATGGGCCATCCTGCTCGGCATAGAGTTGCCCGATGATCTTGTAGTAGTTCGGCACAAAGTCTTGCTTGAACTCGTCCGTGACATTGCCGAGATTCTTCACCCATTGGGCCTAAATTTTTGTTGCATGAAACAGTGAGCCGCGCTGTGTCGGATCCGCGTGCTGCGGACAAGGCTTACCCTCCAGTCGTTGTAGATGTCAGCGACCAAATCCACACAATATTTCTCGAAACTGGTATCCCCATCGTACCCGCCCAGCTCCCTGGCCAGGTATCGAAGGATGGGGAGGTGCTATCTAATGTCAATTACGTCCGCGGCAACTCAACACGTCCCGGGCCTACCTGGCTGAAGATTTTTCCTTCATACTCCAGCACGGGCACCTGCCCCGTCACTGACAAGCCCCGTTCCTTGAGCTCTGCGCTCTTGGTGGGCCAGGTACTATCGAACGGATATCGCACATCATGGAAATCGACCCCGGCATCCTTAAGAAACAATCTGAGTCCGGCGAGGTAAGCATATTCCTCGATGAAGAGCGCTGGGATCGTGGTCTCACCGAACGACTTCTCCGCGACCCAGACTACCAATATCCAAGTAGTGCAGCGTGGGCTTGACCGATGGCAGCGTCATTTCGGTCTTTTGATCAACTCAACCAATACTATGGGGAATGTGGAATGGTGCATTCAGAGGATATTGACATTGTATGAATAGAGGATCACCAGTGATGCAATTATTCGGCCATCGCTGCTTACTCAGGCGGGGTAGTTAACTAGTTAGACGACTGCGGTGTATGCCAGCGTACGCCATTCCAGTCGGTGCAACGTGCGGAGTCATACTTCAGCACTCCTTCCATCATCCTCATGCTTCTTGGGCCAATCCCTGGCAGTCTTCTTGGCGTTTCTAATTCGCGAGCCATCGGTCCTTCAATGTTGCGCTTTTGGCCCCGACCGAACTAGTCTTTAGTACAAGGGGATGTGGAGCCTGGCAAAATCTTCCCCTGGGTAATTTTGGAGCCTTGAAGCTGTGAAACCTTGAATAGTGAATACGGAGTAGTGCACCCAAGTAAATTCCCTCGTCCCTCTTGCATGGTGTATGTGGATGAAAGATCGTCATCATGATGGTCCAGAGTACTTCCCATCCTAAACGGGGAAATATATACTCGCGGCAACAACCAATCCGGCTACTCGACAAACCTCACCACCAAGTCTACGATGTCAGACAGATTGGGAAGTAACATGAAATAAAGGTTTACGTGAACAGATTCATCTCAAACAGAAAATATTTTTGTAATCAAGAAGGAAGGACGCAGAGCCGTTAGTCGGGCCGGGAGGACGGAAATAGACTGCATTAACCTCGGATGGGTAGCTGAGATCAAGGATAATTGGATTGACCATTCAATGTACGGTGGATCTGAATATACTGCTACTAATTGTCATCTAGGAGTAACGAGCCACCGGTTCTCCCAAGACATCCATGCGAGGAGTGATCCCCAGGCCCGGCGCAGAGGGTGCTGAGACGCACCCGTCTTGAACGGTGAAGTCCGCATCTGCTGTCTTCTTGGCCACCATGTCACGGCTCTCAAGCACGCAGCGCAGATTGCGATCCGGAATGGTCTGGCTAAGATGTACAATGGCGGCAAAGGTGATATCTGAACCCGTTGTATCCTGCACGCTAACTGTATAGCCGGCGGCCAGGCAGATATCACGCTGCCGGCGGCCTCGTGTGAGACCGCCAGCCTTGGAGATCTTCAGGCCGATTCCCTCGGCGGCGTCGTCGGCGATCAGCTGCACAGCAGACGCCTCGTTGGTCGCCAGCTCGTCGAAAATAATGGGCACGTCGGTCCTGCGCCGCAGGGAAATACATTCCCTCCATGTCGGGCACGGCGCCTCCAGGACAAAGTCCAGCCCAGTTGGGAGTAAGCGAAGCATTCACAGGGCGGTCTCGACACGCAGCCCATCATTGGCATCCACCAGGAAGAACTCGCCTGGTTGTTTGTCTGCCAGCGAGGCGGCAATGCGCGCTGCATCCGCGGCCGGATCGCCGTCGATCTTGATCTAATGGCCCGTGTATCCTCTCTTTCGGTGGTCGGCAACATTCTGTCGCATCTCTTGAGGGGCCGCCACGGGAATTGAGGAGATCACCGGCATCTTCACGCCAGTACGCCCGCCGAGGAGCTCTCAGACGGGCAAACCGACGGACTTGCCGAAAACATCCCAGCATGCAATGTCGAGGGCCGTTTTGGCGTCCTCGTGGCCCAGCAAAATGGAATCCATCGTTTCGTTGATGCGATCGACCCGTCGGGGATCCAGACCAATAAGGCTGGGAGCCATGTGAGCGATGGCGGTGCGGACGCCCAGCGGGTGCGAGGCCACGTAGGTCGAGCCAAAAGGTGTAATCTCTCCCCATCCTTCAATCCCGTCGTGTGTGGTTATGCGCACGATGGTTGCGTCGAAGCTGTTGTATTCGCGGCCGCCAGACAGGCGATAGACACCACCGGCGTAGGGGAGATCGACTTGAAAGACGTCAGTCTTGGTAATCTTGAGTTCCTTCATAGTTGTTAATATCTCGACGGTGAAGAATAGATAACAAAGTTTTGGGAGAAGAACAAGAAAGTTGATCCTTTTCAACTGCTCGGTTGACGAGGAAATGGATAGGCCTTATATACTGCCTCACGTTGCCTGTATAATCTCGAGCACAAGGTCCCGCTCCTACTGTTGGAAATTCTATGCGATCGTGGCTCAATGCGGGGTGCCACTTGGGAGCGAAGATCGGCCTTTTGAAAGATGCATCCATCTCAGGGTTCGAATGTCCCGATCGGGCAACAAAAATGAGCAGCTTCGCGTGGAGATGTCCGAGTGCGTGCATTTCTTTTCCTTCCATTTCCACGGGAGAGAGCTCTAATTCTAACCGGCTGTTTATCATTTGTAGGCTAATTATCGTGATGTCACTTGTCTACTAAGATCACCGTTCACTATGGAGTACAGATTGAGAAATACCGTTCTAAGAAGATATCATTGATTGATTGGTTAGCCTACACGACCAGGCTTGTAAAGACTTTCAACAGGCCAGCTAGGGCCTCCGGTCACAGGGCTTTATTGATTGCCTGCAAATAATAATTGAAATTGCGGCAATTGAAATATGGCTTGCGTTACCTCGTTGTCTGGCAGGATCATCGACATGCCACAGCTCGTCCGGCTGCCATCAGAATTGAACGTGGGATGCCCATTGATGGCGGAAAAGTTCAATCCAAAAGAAGCTCTGATATCTGGCTTGAGGAGCATTATCAGCATTCCGAACACGAACTTGGCAGACGATTGGGAAAATGTTGAGTCCTGTGAGGTGGGTACCTCGAACACAAGCCAGTTATCGGTGTGCGGAGGCTCGAAGGTAAAAACGGCATATTCTCCCTTAGAAATAGACTCCTTGGCCCAACGGTATCGGTCAACCTCATTATTCCCTGCGCCAAGGGTCAGGACTATCACCCAAAAGGTTTTACGGACGAGCGGCATGTTTGCTTGTGAATCACAGCTGGATCAAGAGTTCGGGGACAAGCGGATATAGCAGGACTGGGTTCCAGAACTCTGGACTCAAATCAAGGTAATCAAGGGGGTTGTGGCCTGATTGATATTTATACTCTCCAAAGGATCATTGACAGGCTTTTACAATGAGTTCCTACAGGACTTCATATAGGATCCTTCCGCGCACTTGCTATACAAACCCTTTCATGAAAAGGATCTTTCCCACCGCGGTTAATGGAACCAAAGAACAACCACAATGACTGACCCTCGCAACACAAAGCACCTTTAACGTTTCGAGACTTTCTAATTTTTCAATCAAATATATCACGTTTTGTTGACTTGTGTATGATGACTGGTGTCTTGAAGAGAGGTCCCGTTCTATGGGGTTGCCATGTGTTGGCTAGCATATCAGACCCATTCTTTGAATGAATCAGATTATATAGACGTTAATACCGTAAAGCTCTCCAGTCCGTCAAAACTAGAAAACACGGTCATCAGCATATGCAACCCTCATTTCTCGCCATGCCAGTTGTGACCCTACACCCGAAGATTAGTAGTAGTCCTTCGATTCTCCCACAAATGCCAGATTCTGAATGGCGGCCAACCCATACTGTGCCACCTCGTTTGTAGAGATCCAGGTCGCTTCGTTGACCGCGACGAGTGCAGCACTGCCGTTGATTCGCTCCGACACCCACGGCTCATTCGCCGTAAAGCCATCCTTGTTCTCGTAGAACTCCTTCCAGGCACGGGCAGCCGTTGTGGCATTGTCGTTGTCGTGGTGCGCCGCATATGCCGTCAAGCGTGAATGACCCTGGACCAAGCTGATCTTGCTGAAGGACTCGCCATATCTTGCCTTTTGTTCCTCCTTCGTGGCGCCGTAGTAGTAGCAGTAGTCGAGCCAGGCCCCTTCAAGGCCCTCGGGGGCATCGTCTCCCCAGTACTCGAGTAGCTCCGAGACGACCTCGGGGAGGCCGAACACAGCGTTCAAGTGCGAGATGGACACGACGCCGTTGTTTGTGGGATCCGACGGGGGCGGCAGAAGAGTGCCGTTGCCAATCACGTAAAGCCCGCTGCCGGTCACGAAGCCGTTCTTCAAACTGGCGATGCCCTTGGCCGTGCCGTTCAATTTGCTCCTGGCCTCGATCCACCGAGGGCCGCGACGTTCCCATTCAATCAACCAACCGGCCGCCATGCCAGCCCAGTCCGTGCCCAGCGAGAAGGCCACCGGCTGCCCGGGCTGCGGCGTCCATCCGTCCTCGCGCACCTTTCTCTGTGGGTCGAGCTTGCCGTAGGTCTTGTCCGCATCGAGTGTCTCCTCGAGCAGCTCTCCCACCCGCTCGTCGCCTCCGGACAGATAGTAGAAATACTTCCGGTACTGGGGCTGGGCAATACGGGCCTGCTTGGCGCTATCGGCAAAATGCTGGACTCCGTGTCGGGTTCCCAGGCCCTTCCAGTCGCCAATGTGGTAGACATCCACTTCTCCGGTATGGCGTGTCAAGGCCTCGGCGAAGCGGTAGACATCGGCACGGCCCGTCCGGAGGAATTGCTGCCAGAGGAAGAGGTCCGGCGACAGTTCTGAGTTGTCCCAGGCATAGCCGCCGACATCATATCGCCAGGTATGTCGGTCCTCGTCGTAGGTGTGCATGACATCGCCGTAGTCCAGGAAACCGTACCAGCGGCGGTCATCGACCTGACCACGGTAGAACTTGACCAGGAAGTTGAGGTGCTCCTCGATCGTGGCTGACTGCTCGCCAGACGTGTCAGGAGTGGCCCAGTAAGACCCGATGGCCTTGGTGCTTTTGATATACTCAGGCTCGGCCACCAGCACCGGAGGCTCGTCGATATACTTGCTCCGGAGCGCCAGCTCGGTCGAGGCAGGGGTACTGTCCAAAGCCGACAAGAAGATCTCGCTTGTTCGCGCAATGCCGTAGGGGGTATTAAAACCGGGCTCGTAGTCCTCGTAGGTAATCTCGAGGGCATCTAATTGCTTTTCGTACGTGTCCTCTCCCAGGCTGTTGTGGAAGGGCCGCAGGTCCAACGGGGCGGCCTCGGGGCTGTAGAGCCACAGCGTGATCTGACCTTGGTCGCTGCCGGCATTCGCGATGTCGATGCCCGTGGGATAGCGCTTCCAAAAGTCTCGCAGACCCAGGGCCAGTCCTCCTTGCGTGGCTCCGCCCAGGTACGCAAGGCCGCTGGATCGCGAACCGCCGGGGATATTGATCCACGCCTGGTCGGGCTTCGTTCGCTTCTTTAGAGTGAAGCCGTCCGGCGACAGCTGGCTCAGCTTGTAATCGCTCCACGCCGGGATCCATTGCAGACGAGAAGACACCCGGGTATCCCAGCTGTCCACGTCGGGAGTCTTCTTACCCTCGAACTGCGCCGACCGCACCTCGGTGCCGGGATCGCGACGCAACCCGGTGATGCCTTGGACTGCCTCGTGGAGATAACCCCCTTCCACCCCGGGTAACCGGATATGGCGATTGTACAACTCCTCTCCTTTCAGCGGCACGTCGAACCGGATTCCCAGGCCGGTTACGAAGTCTTTTTCGGTCGAACCATCCCAGACGATGCTGTGCACGATCCGGACGGAGTCGGAGTTGGCGTACAGGTAGAAGCGCAGGACAAATCGCAGCCAGTCGTCGTGGCTGCCTCCACCGGTGACGGTATGGTTGCCTTTGACGGTGATGAGGGCGCGGACGGAGGACTGCCGGCTCACGGACACCTCCTCCACCTTGCTTTCGAAGTTCAAATAGTCGATGGAGGTATTCGTGCGCGCGACGATGTCCTCGGCCAGGCCGGACTGCGTGTGGAGCACCAGCTTCCCATGTCGGCCCACGACCTTACCCCCGGCCGTCGTGATAGAGTCCACCACGTTGCTACCATGCTTAGAGAAGGCGAGGGTCACCTTGCCCGTGTCAACGCGCACACTATCCACCCGATCCTCGACGTGAATGCTGGAGCCGTTCGTCCGTCGTTTGTGCGGGGGTGCCGAGGCGCTAACAAAGTATTCGTCGTCGACGGCGTCCAGCGGAGGAATGGCGTGCCCGGTCCATTTGATGGAGCCATCGCGCCAGTACCCTGTCACCCACGATTGCAGAGGGATCGGCGTCTGGGATTTGCCCGCGATGCTGAACTCCGTTTCGTTGGAACGGTACTTGCCCGGGGGCCATGGTAGGCCAAAGGTGGTACCAGTGTGAGATTCGGGGGCACCGTCCAGCCAGTGCACCTTGACACTATCCGAGGAGCTGCCGTTGGAGGGCCTCGACACGACTCCAGTGGCCAGGACGGTCAAAGCCACCCACCGAAGTAAGCCTCTCATGGCGAAAGAGACCATCGTGGCAGGTTGATACAGAAATGAAGGAGAGTTGTGATGATTCTTTGCCTCGCCCGTCTACCCCTTTTATAATCGGCCGGCGGGGGGAAGACTATGGTCTCCGGAGCATCGAAGACGACAGAGGGGGGGGGACAATGTACCTGCATGCTAACGATTAGCTTAATTCCGAGGAAATTGCACCGCGGCCTGGCAGTCTCCCAGTCGCCAGTCTTGCCCGTCACGCAATCTGCCCGGGGAAATCCTTCATTGGTCGCTCCGCTGCCGTCTTAATCTCCGGAGAAAATGACTGCAGGCAGACAATTCGCTGAAGAAATTGCATTATCGCGAGAGATTCTGTTATTGTGATCAGAGAGAGACCTCTGTCGGGGGTTCCTGCCAAGCATCTCCCCTCGCGACACTCGGGGCATCTTTACCCGAATGGGCAGAAGTCGAGGCTGTGTGATGCATCGTCAACTGTCGGAGGATTCAATCCGGCCGAACGGGGTTTGGATGGGCACTGTTCTGCTCCACCGAGGGTTGATGAGCACAGAAGACGTCATAATTACATCCCTATCGGTTACTTGGCTCCTGCGCCTAAACCCGCCAGTTCACGGCATGACCTGCAATAGCCCTGAATGGTGGATACTTGCTGGTCCTGCAGGCCGTCAGGGGGTGACTGTCGTCGTCAATTGTGATCACATTATCGATATCAGTTAATTTCACGCTATGCGACGGTGCCACAATACCTCCTTTCCTATCTTGAACCTGAGGATGATACCGTTTCTCTAGATTCAACGCTCCTGCTGTCTTTGGATATGCCCCTTGCATCGGGGGGATTTAGAGACAGTTACGATTGCTGGATTTCTCCGTCATCTTGATGCCACTACATAAGATTCTATGCGCGCCGAACATGCTCCTTGGCCTGCGAGTCAACCCCCAACCAGAGGAGATCCGGCCGGCTGTAGTGTCCACAAAGGTCCAGGAAGCATAGCGTTTCCAACACTCTATCTTCGTGGATATCAGCCATGACAAGTCCCTCGTCAGTCTCGGGAAGATCCTCGGTCAGTTGTCGACCGTCCGGTCCGTAGATGGCGGTCGCGCCTCCGCCAGGTCTGTTCATCAGTTCCCCTTCTGCCGTGCCCATGGCAACGATCCCCTTCTCGGAGATGACACTGGTTGCGTGAAGGACAAAGGTCGACGATTCTACGGCATAGGTCTGCGAGAGGTTCCGACATCCTGGGGCGTACGGTGTATTTATAAGTGAATGCGCCCGACGATACTCCAGAGGGCGAGAGACCTACCTTCTCGCGACATGCTCCAGAGACCGGCACCGCCCGAATGAGGGTACACCGGGGGCCAAGCGGCGGCGTGGACGAACTCACGCAGGTGGTAGGTATGATACTTGAGCAGCGGATTGGCATGCTCCCAGCAGGAGAGAGCACCCACGCGGCCCACGTCGGTATCAGCCACGTTGTGCAGCGAATCCCCCGTGCAGTCGCCGAAGATAGTGCGCTCCATATGCGTCGGCTTGATCTTGCGACGAGGAATCTTCAACTCGCCGCGACTCGTGAAGAGGCACTGCGAAATGTACAGCGACCCCTGATCATTCTCGGAGAAACCCAGCACGACATTGATGGCATTTTCCCTCGCACAAGTACGGATCTGCTCCATCTCCGGGGAGCCGTATCGAAGCGAATTGCGGATGTAGGCCACCGAGAGCTCCATGTCAACTGGCCGGGTCCTATCACGACGGTTTCCATGAGAAGCTAACATCTTGCGCGGTGCAGAACTGGTCAAACTCACCAAATCCAGGCTGGATAGCCGGGGATCCAGCATTCGGGGAAGGCGATCAGCTGCACGCCCTGTCGCGCAGCATCTTGGATGATCGAGCAGGTCTTGCGCACAGCGGCAGGCAGGTCGAGCCATTCGGGCTCGGCCTGGACCGCAGCAACGCGAACGGTGGGAGTTTTCGCAGCAGTAGTCGCAGTCATAATGATGTAGCAGCGATGAAGCAATACGGAGGCTCCAGCGCACGGTGTGAGGGGCGCACGACGGTCTTAGTGTGGACAGATAGACCAAATGCCGATCCCTGTGCCCTTTCGCTTCGATGCCTATCATGCCCAATCAGCAGCGCCGGATGAACAGGGATACCAAGGGTGTGGATCCCCCCTGAAAGAATGCCGTTTGTGGTGCTTACGGGGGAATCTAAATTGACCCTACGGTGTACGCATCAACTCTCCCCGCGTCGAAGTCCTCATTCCATTCCCCAGTTCGATACGACCGAGGAACCATGAGATGCGGAGAATGCGGAAAATAGCTAGATCATTTCCAGGTAACTATGATAGTGCTTTCAGTCTTGGAGTATGATCGAGATCACTTCGGGTTACCCACGCCAATCAAGCCTCCAGATACAAAAATCGAACAATTGCCACTCAAAACAAGCGAGATTCGCCTGGCCGGTGGATTGCAGATGGACTATCGCTGACAGCCTTGGCCAAGCAATTTCCAGTCCACTGCGAAGTCTTCCACCTACCCAGCGCAGTAGTATGGCTTTCTTCCAGAGGGGATTGGGTTTCTGGCCCTTGCTCCTGAGATGGACTGGTGTGACAACGTTCTGCTGCCAGAACATCCTCCACGACTGCACACGCCTCCCGACTTGGGCGCATTAGTATTGGAAGCCATCACAACTTCTTCATTAACTTTGGACCTGTCGCCTGAGACTAATGTCGCCAAGCGCAATGTTCAATCGACGGTCAACCACATGGCTCCAATGATCAGTGGGCTCAACCGGAATTCGATCTCAGGTTCGAAGGTCGCGCCAAGTAGGCGATGGTGCCGATCATGATGGCGAAGGGGAACGGATAGAGGAGGATTTTTCTGCGGTCTGTCGCGGCCAAGGAGAGCTCTTCAGGCCCATCTATGAGAACTCATTGATTATGATGGGTACTACCGGACAATGAAAGGAAGACTGTCAATAGACAGCGGTTGTAGCCCAAAGCCAGTTCGATCTGGCCGACTGTTTGTTTGCCGGGTTTGTTCGGTTTGCGCGGTTTGCACCCACAACCCGCGGTAAACCCGATCGGGCGCCGGTCCCGGAGACGGAACAACAGAAGCTCCGCCCACGGAGGACACCCGATGAATCAACAACTCCGCGGACGCGGGACCAGTCAAGGCTTATCCACCTCTGTTGACGAGAAGCATTCATCTCACCAGCTCTTGTTTACCCTACTTGTATTGCCTGGCGCAAATCTTGTACATGGTGCTTGGAGTCGCGTCGATCCGCTTTGCACCGCAACATATATATTGCTGCAACCCGGCATCATGTAGGCTTCGCCGATCCACCGGGATAGGAGATTGGTAATAGCTACATATTCGTGGACTCCAACTCTGAATGCTACCTAGTATAGGAAACCGCAGAATGTCCAGAATGCGATGGATGAAAGTTACCTACCGAGCACTGCCTCGTGGTGTGTCGTGAGTCTGGATTCTGGAATGAGTGCCAAGTCACTCCACTCTGAGCCTGGTCTGTTGAACAGTCTGTGCCATTGTCCATGGAAGGTGACCAAAGCGCCTTGACCTGGACATGGTCCCAAAAATGCCGCAAAGCCCGACCGGAATCAGAGATACACAGTCGCAGAGAGGGCCATGGGGAGTCTGCAGTCTGGACTGCATCACGCCTTTCCGTACCCACCGATCTAGGGTGCAGGACGGAAACCTTGACGACGAAGGGTGAAAAAGGGGCATGTCCAAAGGCTCCACGAGGTTTATCAATGCTCATAAACTTTGAGCATACAGGTTATTGTCAATCCATTCGATCAGGTGGGACTCTAGCATCGGGAGTGCGCTCCTAAGCTCCCGGGCCGGAGTTGCTGCGACTAGGCTTTGATTGCCATCGACATGAAGAAGGTGTCGATCGCCGGCATTGGGTTCCTGAGAAGAAGGCGACGGGGTTGCGTTCTAATCGCGCACGGCAATTGCCAGCAGTGTTGTGGAGAGGCCCTGGCGATCATTGTCCTGGCCGGTGGATCCGCGGACGAGATGCCGGCACTGATTCGTGCCGGCCTCCTATGGGACTTGGAGACTGTCAAGATTAGCTTTTCTGCACTCCACCCGCTACGAGATGCGATCGGCACGCTGGGCTGCTGGCAGCAGAGAAAATTCCAAATGCTCCGCAATCATCGCATCGGCTGAGAAGTGCAGGTTTGTGTATAGTGTGTGCCCCCGAGTTGACCCGGACGCCATAGGAAGTGCCCTGCCACTATACTGGTGTCCCAGATCGATTCGCCTCGAACTGTTCCAATGCACGCTTCGCTCTTTCGAAGGGCCGAGGTGTGTATAATTAAGCCCTGCGGAAATCGGGGTTCCGGACATTCGTGCTCGTCGACATTGGGACCATCGCGTGCCATGCCAATCAGGAGAGGGGTGGAGCGATTGCGGATCGATACTTTGAATAGACGCTGCTAGTCTGCGTCGCTGGCGGATACTGCTCGAGACTGGCCTCCTGGAAATCGTGATAGTGGATTCCGACCGAGTAATGGCGTCGCGACGAGAGATATAAAGCTTCGACCTGTTCCTCCATCAGCTTCCTCTCATTCAACCAAACCATCCATTCATTCATTCCTTCATTCCAATCCAAGGCCCTCGAGCCCAAGTCACTCTTTTCAGTCACTCCTTCCAGTCGTTCTTTCGAACCTCATCTTCCTTTATCTCCCCCGTTTCAAACATCAATTCTTAGGTACATTCGCCCTTTATTCCGACGTACCTCTCGTTCCCATCCGGCAGAAAGCTAACGCGGGACTAGGATACCCCATCTACCACCACAACCATCACCATGCGTTTCGAGATCACCGCCGCCGCTCTCTCCATGTTCGCCGCCGTCGCCTCCGCCAGCTCTCCGGTCGAGGCTCGCGCCGCGGACCTCTCCCAGATGCCTGCCTCCAGCCTGGCGGCCGGTCTCGTGGCCAAGCTGCCCGTGCAGGTCGACGTGAACGAGTACGACAAGTCCAGCGGCGATGTCGCCGTCGGTGTCGTCGCCAACCTGGGCAACATCCCTTACCTCGGCTCTCTTCCTCCCTTCAGCCGCACCGTGACGGTGAACCTGACCCTCAGCGGTCTGTCCGGTCTGCTGCCCAACTAAGAGGGCACATTGGAAGGGGACATAGTCTCCGTGCGATTGGGGACGTGACGTGGTGTATAAGTGAACCTTATCGAATAATCTTAATGTGGTTGTAATTCTCCATGCATTCCAGAACTATTGATCGTAGTCGGGCACTAGTTAGGCTCGCTACTCCGTAAACTAGTCGGCCGGAATTGACTAATTCCGCTAACTCCGGGCCGAGGGCGATGAGGTCATTCTTCATGCCGCTCTCCTCATCTCCTCATCTCCTCATCTTTTCTCCCCTCTTCGCGTTTCTCTACCTCAGTTTCTACTCTCTACTCCCTCCTGTTGTCTTGTAAATCCCTGAATCTTGCTCCATCATGGCCCGCCCCTCGAATACTCATGTCAAACTGAATGACGCGGTGTCCATCCCCGTTGTGAGTCTATCTGGTCCATCTGTCACGTCGACCGACTCGGACTAACGCCGATTAAGCTCGGGTATGGCACCGGCACCGCCTGGTACAAATCCGCCGGAGACACCTCGATCAATCGTGACCTGGTGGAATCCGTCAAGACCGCCATTCGACTAGGATACCGTCACCTAGACGGTGCCGAGGTCTACAACACCGAGGCCGAACTGGGTGTCGCCATCCGCGAGAGCGACGTCCCGCGAGAAGACCTTTTCGTCACCACCAAAGTGCGCAATAATGTGACCAATATTCCCGGCGCCATCGATCAAAGCTTGAAGAAGCTTCAGCTTGACTATGTAGATCTGTAAGTGCCGTCATTCACGAGTCGTCCAGTTCTTTGGTCCTGACGGTCCCCCGCCAGCTATCTGATTCACGAACCGTTCTTCGCCCAGACCGACGACGACCTACAGGGCGCATGGGCCGCGATGGAAGAAGTGCAACGCTCGGGAAAGGCGCGGGCGATCGGAGTGTCTAATTACCTGCGGTCTCACCTCGAAGCTACGCTGAAGACCGCGACCATCCCGCCGGCCCTCAACCAGATTGAATTTCACCCCTATCTGCAGCACGGCGATTTGCTCGCATTTCACCAGGAAAAAGGAATCAAAACCGCGAGCTACGGTCCTCTCACTCCGGCGACTCGCGCGCAGGGCGGGCCCGTGGACCCGACCGTGTCGGCGCTGGCCAAGAAGTACTACGTCTCCGAAGGCGACGTGCTGCTGCGCTGGTCCATTGACCGAGGGGACGTGTCGGTTACTACAAGCTCGAAGGAGTCGCGATTGCAGGAGTATTTGCGTGCCCTATCTTTCCGCTTGACTCCGGATGAGGTGGAAACGATTGCTCGCCTCGGACAGGAAAAGCATTATCGAGCCTTTTGGCGAAACAACTTTGCCGAAGATGATCGGTCGTAGACCGACCGGGACTTTTTCGTTTGAACCGCCCTTAGATCAGGTCTCAGTACTTTGAGTAGACATGCACATATGATTGGAAAATGGGCTACGGGTTTAAGGCCACAGCCCATGAGGAATTTACAGCTTTTCAACTTCATCGATGTGTTTTTCTTTTTTTTTTTATTGCCCCGGATTAGCAAGAACAATCAGGCGGGTCTCCGATGACCTGCAGCAAATACTCCATAAGCAACTTCAAGCTCCCTCTTTCTATTCTGCACCATTTGCCAAAATATCCCGCTAGTTGCTGTTTGTTTCCGGTCTCGGCGCATTGTGTTCACCGCCGCTAGAAGCTCCTCGCATACCCGGAGGCCCTCAACAAATTTATCTTGCTTTTGGTAGCATTCTACGAGAGTCCATAACATCTGGCAACGATCCGGATGCTCTCCAGAGGCTGTGGATGTCTTAAGGTAGTTCTCCGGCTTGGAAATGTCTAATAACAGCTCTTCCGCTTCAGTAAATCGGCCTTGCTTGATGAGAATCGCGGCAAGATGAGTTTTGCCGGCCAGGACTCCCATGTGGTCTTCCCCTAGATGGGCAACGGCGATTGGCACGAGAGTACTGATCAGATTCTCGGCCTCATTCAATTTCCCCATCGCACTTTTGATGGGAGCGAAATTCGCCTTCGCAAGCCAGGTGAATGGCTGCATATCTCCCAACTGCCTTTGGCGCTCTTCCAGCACAAATGATATGTCACGATGTGCACCGGCAAGATACTGTTCACCACGCTCCTTGCTCGTAGCCATGTGCTTGATACCAAGCTCCATGCACGTTATAGCCAACCCCTCCATTGCAGACAGCGTCCTGAGATCTGCTGCGCCCAACAAGCGCCTCAGCCCTGCCACGGCTTCTGTTTGCTGCCGCTTGGCGTCTTCAAAGCGAAAGCAGTACTAGAGGGTTATGCTATAGTTTTCTAGAGCATGGAAGATAGATGGAGCATCCGCTGATAAATTCAACCTCATCCCATCAATCGCTTTTTCGTGGAGCGCGAGGGACTCCGCGAACCGACCCTGCTGACGGCGACTATGGCCTAGGCAATCCATAACCTTGAGCGTCTGTGGATGGTCCGGTCTAAGAGTTCTCAGGCAGGTCTCGAGGACTTGACTTTGAAGTTCTGCTGCTTCATTCGTCCGGGATTGCTGCCATAATGTACCGGCGAGCGCGAGTGTGATTTCTATTGACCTCGGATGATCAGCACCTCGCACTGCGCAGATAAAATCCTTAACTATTCGCTGGCGCTTCTCGGCCTCCGTAAAATAGCCTCCTTGGAGGTAAATAAGGCTCGACTTCACCAGCTGCAAAGCTTTTTGGGGATGCATCTCTGGCTGCAGTGTAGGCCAAGGTTTTCTGCGTGACTTCTGATTTTCCCGATAACGAGCCTGTATCTTGCTTTGGTGTCCATCCACAGATATGAGATGCGGGAGAAGGTGTCGCTGCAAATCTGTATGTGACTCGTCCAAATTGCTCAATGGAGGCAGAAGAGTACATCGCGAGATGACGGTCTTCGCCGCTTCGCACCAAATTGCCTGATCATAAGTCGACATGCCCGGTCGCTCGCGCACCCATGTATGTACCAGAGGATGCATTGAATAGCTGTCTGTCGCCTCGTGGTAGGCGATGAGCGACAGCTGAGTGAGTTCGTACAGTGCCTTATGCAGTCGCTCATGGCAATCATCCGGGGTGTTCGACAACTCCGCGTCGAGTAGAAAGGCCGGCAGGACGGTTGGCTTTGGGCTCATCAGTATTGACTCCACAACTTTTGAAACCAGTTTATGAAGTAAAGTCAACCATGGCCTTGGTCGCCACCATAAACCCAGCAGCTTCCTGTCAATTTCCCTCCTTCCCTGTTTCTCAGTGCTGGAATTTTGATGCTGCGCCTCCCGTTCAATTGTTGGGTATCTGACGGCAGCAATGAGGAGGCTAAAGGGGATATTCTCATGATGGAAGAAGGAAAAAATGTTCAACAAATGCACCGCATCCCGGTATCGCTAGTACTTCATAGCTTCTAGTCCTCGGTAAACGATTTCGTAGCTTGCATAGACTTTCAGATAGTCCTCCATGTTAATACCTTCCTCTCTATTGCCGGAGAGGTGGTGGCTTTGGCGAATTACGTCCCAGCTGCGATCGTAGTACGATAAATAGTCGCTCAGCTGGCAATATCTGGCTCTAATAGCCTGACCGGCGTGTATGAGGGCCAGCGGCAAAGCCCCCAGAGTCTTAGCGATCTTAGAAGCTGATCGCATTATTGGTGGTGTCCAGGGTTGCTTTTGATCCGCCGCCTTGAGAAGAAGCTCGCTAGCCTCGATTTCCTCTAACCTGTCGAATTGGTAAAAGCGAGACCCGATCGTGCCATGCATCTTGTTGGAGGGGAAGCACGTGGTGATCAGGGTAAGGCCTTCTCCGCTGTCTGGAAAGTAGCGCTCAAGGTCCAGGTGGCTATCATCCGCGTTGTCAATTAGTAGCAGCCAAGGAAACTCACTAGTAGCGAGCCAGCTTTTCGCGGCGCGCTCATTCGGATCAACTTGAGCCATCTTGGCTATTCCAATGAGGCTTTGTCGAGCGTTCTCAGGCGAGCTAGCATCAATCGTGAAGACGCCCCAAAAGCTGCACGGCTGTGAGTAACTTCTGAAGATGCAAGGCCTCGCCGAGGGTACGAGTACCTTTGTTTATTTTCCCAGGCAAACTTGCAGCAAAATTGAGTCTTGCCAGATCCACTTATGCCAGTCACGACGAACCGTCTTCTTGTTCGTCCATCTCCAGCGGACAAGGACAGATCAAAGGCGTGCTTGAGGTCATCTAAGTGGGCTTTTCGCCCCGTGAATATGCTCGAAACTGATTTTGGAATATCGAAATAGCGATTCAAACGGAGCTGCGAGGCTACGGCTGTAGCAGAATCAAGAGGGGGATATCATGAAAATCAGGCGTTTGTTCGCCGACCAGCAGCAGGCTGCTTACCAGGCGTCCATCCGCTGTCGGTAATATTGATTGCAGCGCTCGTAGCTGCCTTTGGAGCTGAAACCCAAATATCTGGAACCTTTCGGTGTCTTTGCGGGCGTATAACCTGCTTGACGTTAGCAGATATACACTGTGCTCTGCATGTGGAAGTCTGTAACCTACATGATAAGAGTAGTCATGCAGAGTTGAAGGCTCCGGTGGTGACTGGCAATTTGGTCCCTGAGTTTGCCGATTTGCTCCTCTTTGTCTTGCTTTCGTAACTGCTTCCTGATCCCGTCGGTTCGGCCAGTTACCAAAGGTCCATTACTGCCGACGATGGTTGTCATGACAGCCTCGAATCTTTGTACCATTTCGCAGCAGCAAGTTAGAGTCACGCTCGTAGTCTCCCAATGCTTGCGCAGTTCCGTTGGAATCTCCTTCACGCACTCTATCAATCCCTCAACATGCTGCTCATGTAGTTGCCGGATACTCTGGTTTGCCGAATCCATTGCGTGGATTTCACCAAACAATGATGCGATTTCCCCTTCGACCTGCGCAGCCCCCTTAATGAAAGACATCATCCATTTGGTAGTCCTCAAGATGGTATCAGCAAGAGCAGCTGAGCCTACGGTAATTGAGAAAGGATCCATGATAAAGATGGCGGGCCATGTAGCGTTGAGGTCAATGAAGAGCCTGTCGTAAATGACAGCGAGTTAAAACGCACAGACAGCGATTTGGGTGTCGCTTTGATATTCTTATGTATGCGGGCTGCTGGGAGGTGGTATATGACAAATTTATCGCCCTTCTTGTTTCAGGGCTATGATAGGACGGCGTCTGCAATGGTCCCATTGTAGCTGTCCCATGAAAGAAATGACAAGCACGGATAGGTGTCACATTGGCCCATGTTACCGAAAACATGAACCCAAAGCCTGATCTCTCACTGCAGTTCCGTGGTGTGGATATTTAGGATAGAGTGCTCACAGGGTGGTAGAATATCATTATTCTTCCCGCTTCATATTTTGTCCTTTATCTTTGGCTAATTTTTGATATGTTTTGGTTCTTGAACGAGATGACTGTCATAGTCCGTCTGATAGAATGAGTGTACCTTGCTGCAAAGGAGTGCGCATGGCTGTGCTTTCATCCCCTCCATCTTCCTGTCCTTCTCTGGGATTAGGGAGGAGAGGTAACGTCGGATGGTAATCACAGGAGTCAGGCGGACATCGATTGAGTTACATATGCATCTTCTCCAGAAATAGAACCCCAGATTCTAGCCGCTGTCTCAGCTGGCGTGTTTCAAGTGGCTAACATTCCTAGTGATGTGGGCCTAGAGCAACATCTGGGGTCACACTGCCTGACAACCCACCCGGCGGTGAAGGAAAACGGGGAGGAGGCAGCGTTGAAGAGACACACGTTCATCATCGATCTTTACAAAGAGTTGCAAGATCCAGTGCTCGTGCGAGACCAACTGGTGCATGTTTTGATTGCCGGACGAGATACGACCGCCTGTCTTATATCGTGGACTTTCTTCCTCCTTGTGCGACATCCTAACGTTCTCGCACGACTTCGCGACGAGATTCACTTGGTGACCGGGGGAGACTCACGACTCAATCGCGTTCGGATCAGTCAGATGAAGTATCTTCGCTGTGTGATCAACGAATGTACGTCCCTTTCGAATGCCCCCAGATCTAGTTAGGACTTCACTTACTGTAGAAGGCCAACGCCTTTATCCGCAACTACCGACCAATGTCCGAGTAGCTGCGAGAACGACGGTCATCCCTCATGGCGGAGGTCCAGATGGGAAATCACCGGTGCTCATACCAAAGGGTACGGGGGTCGGGTACTCGGTGTACCACATGCATCGACTCAAGAGCTTGTATGGCGAAGATGCCGATCACTTCCGCCCGGAAAGGTGGTTGGGCTCCGCATTGGATAGCATTGGCTGGGGCTTTATGCCTTTTCATGGTGGGCCACGAATGTGTTTGGGTCGTGAGTAATGGCTTCAAGGCACGAGATATCCCAGGCGTTGACTGAGCTCGCAGAGGAATTCGCCCTCACGGAAGCTTCATATGCAATTACCCGCATTATTCAGGCATTCCCCCGCCTCAGGCTTCCTCCTCAAACATTGACAGTTCCCCCGGGCGAAGAGAAGCAGGACCTGACAGTGGTGGTGATCAGCGCAGAGGGGTGCAAGGTAATCCTCAACTAGATGAATGTTTTAGGCAGACCTAATTCACAACGTAACGAGATCGCGTACGAACCTTAGTATAAGAACCCGAAAATGGAGCATTTTGGTTCTCATCTTAATCCTGTAATCTACTGCGAAAAGGAGGGGCCAGCGTGCACACGACTTGAAGGTAACACAAGCAGAGTTTGCAGTGCCACCAAGTTGCCATAGCAAACACACAATAGCAAATGGTGGTTGCACTGCCATTTGGCTCCTTCATCCCGACTTGCGCTGATAAAACCACGGTTCCTTCTTTCTATCGACTAGGCAAAGAGCATACCGGTCGCTTTAATCTTGACCTCCCGCAAATATGGCCCAGTGGGGTGCTTTGGATTTGAACAACGCAACGACTCTCGCTCTAGCAGCGGGAATTGTTCTTTCCCTGGTCGTCGGTAGAGCCATCTTTCGTAACTCCCCATGGGCCTCGGCTCCCCTGAAAAACCGTAAGTTTAGCTATATTCGATTGATGAACCAGACCCAGACGGCATGTGCTAATCTACCTGTGTTATTGTTGAAGCTCCATCACAACCCGTGAGCTCCTCAACTTCCGACGGTACATCAGGTCCGCAACCGCAAAGAAAGCCTCCGAGGGTATCAATCCTGGATTTAGACGTGCGATGAAATGGGCGCGGCCAGTCGGTGGCGGCGATTTCGGAGAAGCTGACTGCGACAATGATTCCGGGGCAAATGGCGGTAGCATCCAATTGGCTCTTGGCCTGGACTTTGTGTTTTCTTGTGAAACGGGCTAAGGATGACGAGACTAACTAGTTCGTCGCTGAGACGCCACAATGGAGCAAGGAGGCGCTTCGTTGATCAAGCAAACAAAGACTGCTGTCAACCGTCTAGACCCAAGTAGCCTCCCTGTTGTACTTTCCATCCTTGTTTCACGCGCCGTATCCCCTCTCGCGCAGGTGTTACGGTCTGTCGCTGCCTTGCTATTCTTTCCTCTCGACTTGTTCGGGTGATCCGTTAGCCCAGTTCATCTTGAGCCATCTGTACAAATTCTCTGTTGGCCTCGCTCACAAACTCCAATTGTGATCTCCGTAATGGAATCATTTGCCGACAGTCGTCATTGTGAACTCCTTCAACCCACTCCAGATCCCTGTCCCAGCTTGGAAGACACGTCGCCTTCCAAACAGCCTGTATCGGACCCCAACGGGGGAATTGCAGCGCAAAGAGTCCACTCGAAGCGCACTGGCCGATGGTTGCTCGAGAACCAGATCGGTATGTGACATGCAATTTCTCGCTTTCGCTCTCGGCCCAGCGTCTCTCTAGACGCAGGTGCCATCTTAATCCCAATTCCGCGACATTTGAAGACTGGAATCTGACAATTATGGCCGAACAGAACTGTCCGCCGCTTGTATCGCCGTCTGTCTCTTCACACACTATTCCGTACCGGATGCGCGATCCTACACGTCAAAGTTCTTGTTTATTTCGCACTACAGCACCAGTCGGGGTACATATGCAGCTGGAGGCGATGACTTCTACTTCATCGCCTTCTGCATCGTCCTCTTCACCGGTCTGCGTGCCGCCGTCATGAAGTACATCCTTGCCCCCTTGGCTACGTTTTGGGGAATATCCCGGAAAAAGGATGTCAACCGATTCGCCGAACAAGGGTGGCTGCTATGCTACTACTCGATTTTGTGGACTCTTGGCATGGTGAGTAACAAAGGGTGGCCATGGCGACTAGGAGCGCGTTGCCGAGAGCTGACGGAGGAATCTGCAGTACATCTATTACACTTCGAGTTATTTTCTTGACCTGAGAGAGATGTGGACCGACTGGCCTACTCGCGACCTGCCGGCAATCAACAAGGCCTATGTGTTATGCCAGTGGGCGTTCTGGTTGCAGCAAGTCCTGGTCATTCACATTGAACAGCGCCGCAAGGACCATTGGCAGATGCTGGCCCATCATACCGTGGCGATTGTATTGATCTCCACCTCATATGCCTGGCACCTAACGCGTGTGGCAAACTTGATCCTGATCCTGATGGATGTCGTGGACATTCTTTTCTCTGTAAGCGGCTCTCGCGCGCTCTCTCTCCCTCTTGTGGACGTTGGCTAACGTGCCAAAGCTGGCCAAATGTCTGAAATACCTCGGACTGTTCACCCTTTGCGACATCATGTTCGGCGTCTTCATGGTGTCGTGGTTCATCGCTCGGCATGTGCTCTACCTCACCACCATGTGGAGTATCTATACCCATATGGCGGAAATCATTCCCATCGGCTGCTTCCACGGATCGCAAGACGCGCTGACCGGCCCCACACCTCTGCCCGAGCGCGGACTGTCGCACATGCTCGATCCCTTTCGAAATCCGTCCGGCACAATCTGCTTCAGTCCGCGGGTACAATGGGGGTTCCTGGTCGCTCTGGGGTTCCTGCAGTTTCTGAACCTCGTGTGGCTCGTCATGATCGTTCGGGTCGCCCTCCGGGTTCTCGCGGGCCGTGGTGCGGACGACGTACGAAGTGAGGATGAGGGCGAGTATGACGGCGAGTGGGAGATGACTGGGAACGGACGGCGCGGCGGTGCTTCGTCTCGTCCGGAGGGTCTGGGAGTGGCAACAGGTCTCAAAGCGTCGCAACGAATCACGAACACGAAGAGAACTGCCCACTCCACGGGTGTTGGTTTGCCGCGGCGCAGTGACCAAAAGCAACTTCTGGGTCGACTGGGATGCGACAGACAGATTGATTGAGTCGGGCAGTGCTTCAAGTGAAGAGGGTGCTGGTATTATGTACATTCCAACATTCCAACATTTCATCGCGGCGCCAACACGCGGCGGAACACTCCTTAAAATAGAGCCAGCAAAAGGGGATTGGTTGTTTTGTATCCTCTTTTTTTTAAATGAGTTCCAAGCGGCAATAGACCTCGGTCGAACGGTCGGCGTAGTGGTCTTTTGGGGTGCGATTTAAGGATGCAGCTTGTCCAGGGAGCTCGGGTACCTTCCATTGCAAGTTCTATCTATGCACCGGAGATAGGCTCCCCTACCATGGGGGATGGGGATGTATCATGATCATGGCTTTTTGAAAAGAGATTTTATTCCTATGTTGGTCGTTTGATCTAGTGAAGTCTATCATACAACAAGGGTCGAATGCATATGAGCCTGCGCCCCGGCGCCGGGCCCACCGCATCGAACTCTATGGAAGCCAAATTCAAAGGAAATGGAAAGAATGAAAGGTCGTCAGAAATGAATGACCGAAGCGCCGTATGAATCCGTTGTATCTCTTGTCCTCGTAAATCCACCGTTCCTGCGTGCCTGCCGAGGTGAAATGACCGTCATTTTTTGGCCGGTGCCACCTTAACCCAGGGTCACGGTGAATGCGGAGCTGGACGTGCAACTGTTGGTGTCCTTGTCGTCGGACTGCTGGTAGGATTCGGCACAGTTGCTATCTCCCGCCGAGCAAGAGACGGAGGTGCAGCTGGAGTCGTCGGAGCTGGCCGAAAAACCGGCGGAGACGAAGGCCGAGCTGGAGTCCAGGTCGATGGACGACAGGTCCCAGTAGAGGTCATCGCCACTAGTAGTGTACTCAAACTGCAGCACGCTGCCCTCACTCTGCGAAGTCGACATCTTGATGGAGATGCCGCCGCCGTCGGAGTTGGTCTGCCAGTCCTCGGAGTAGGTGCCGCCGCCGGAGTTGAGCTTCTGCATGCTGCCGGCGTCGCTGGACGTGGACCACAAGTAGACCGTTGTATTCAGGTTGTTGACGATCTGGACGCCGCCGCCGGAGCTGGAGCTGGCACTGGCACTGGCACTGGCGGCGGTTCCGCTGGAGGTTGCGCTGGGCGCGGCCTTGGGGAGAGCCGTGGCGGCCATGGCGAAGGCGGAGGTGATCAAAGCACGGGTGAACAACATTGTGACGAGTTGTAAATCGAAAAGGATGGAGTGATTAGAAAGGTCTGTCTGTTCAACAGAGGGACTGAGATCAAAGGAAAGAAGTGGTGGAGGATCAACCTCGACTAACAAAGGAATGTAAATGAAAGAGAAAGTAGTAGTGTTGAGGAACAAGAAAATAGAATCAAGAGCGCAGAGGAGGGTATTTAACCATCCTGGTGGAGTTCAGGTCGACGGTCTCGAATTGTCGAGACCAGTCGACCATTCGCAAGCTGGGAGGACGCGTGGTGGAGTTGAGTTGATGATATGTCAGATCTCCGATCTCCAGTTCTCCAACTTCGGCTTCATCTTTCGGGATGGCACCGTTAGGGCTAACCCCCGGTGGGGCGACGCCGGCGGTCTCGACCGGCCAGCGTCGTCGCCCTGACGCGGCTGCCTTTTCCACCGGCGTCTCTCGTTGGTCTGTCGGGGCAATGGACCAGAGAACCGTGAGAAGGTGGACTCTGGAAGAGCTTTCTGATATGACGCGGTGCTGGTGGCGACCCGCGTGGTCGTCAGGTTCTGCGTGGCCACCATTGGCGGTTGATCCAGGAACTCCAACGAGCTGCCATGACGAGGGACCTGGACCTGAAAGATCTTCTGGCACCGATCCACCGCTCTCCATTCCACCGGTGGTCGGTCTCGACTCGGGCTGAAACGGAGCACAGAGTACTGTAGATGGGGAGGGCAAACACTTGACGGGGAAGTTGGTTATCTAGTCACAATGGTTGGATTGTGCTGGTTTCAATGCTCCTCGGTGCACAAGGATGGTCGCCCAGTGTTTTGCAAGAGAGCCGATCTCCTGAGAGGAATTCAAACTACACCATAGAATACAAATATATATCTCGGGCGAGTCACAGGGTCCTTGAAGGCTACTGCTTGGGACTTACATGCCTCCCCAGATGGGGATTGGGGCAGCTTCACCCGCAGAATCCCCAAGCTCTCCAATCCACCGCGTGTCTTCACTCTTCACTCAGGACTGACAGTGACGACAGGAGAAAACTCTTCGTGTTTGCCACGAAAGACGCGCCACCGGCTGAATGGTCACCTGACCACGATTGTGACACGTGATTGGAGCGGAGGGAAGAGGCAGAATCTGCCCCTTGCATCATCTTTGTGTCTTCTCCTTTCTTTTCTTTTTTCTCTCTCTCCTCTCGTCTCGTCCCCTCGTGGCAACTCGGGCCACCTTGCTGTAAGAGTTTTCAGATCGCCAATCCCTCGGGAATGGAACATCCATGGTGTGCAACCGGAGGATATTTGTCTCCGACTTGACCTGATCTCAGTCTCACACGAGAGGCAGCCGGGAGATCGGCCGGACTAAATCGACCGGGCGTCAGACCGTCAGACCAAGTACGATGGACGGACGCCCCGTTGGGAAGGTGCATCGCGCTCCCCATTCTGCAACATCATGAAGGTTGGATTGCTCGATCGCCCGCGGATTGACACCGTTCTCGTCCTTAGCTCGACGGCCCCGACGGATGAATGAATGCCGGGGCCGGCGAGGGATCGTGATCCCTGAGCATCCATGCAGCTGAGGGAACCGACTAGCTAAGAATAGAAGGGACTGAAAACTGAAAGTCTGAATGCTCCCTATGTACAATGTAAGCTAGTTCAACTGATGTTACTCCGTAGAGATCACGTCGCTTAGGGCTACCCGATGCGCAGCCTCAGGCACGTGGGGATCTCCGCCTTAGTGCCTCATGCTGCCTTAGCGCTGCCTTCTGTTGGCCTCGCTTTCTCCTTCTTCCTCCTCTCCTCCTCTCCACTTGCCTGCACGCCATCCCCCCCCGTCTCCCCCATCTGACTGGCCACGAGCCCATCGTTCATCGCCATGAGGCGGCCGGGTTTGGCCTTCCGTGGGCTTTGTTTCGGCGCCGAACCTCGAAAGACTCTCGCGCTAGGCCGTGAGGAATGTTATACCAGCCTAGTCCCTTCGTATCCGGGTCTCGCGCTACTCCTGCAGCAGTTCAGCGCTCTTCGTATTCCCACCGTCGCTTCCATCCACCAGTTTTTATCCGGTTCCTTTCAGCCGAGTGTGTCTAGCCTCTCTCATTGCCGGCGAAATGAGGGTCGGTTTCAGGCCTCTCTGGTCTGACCCGTCGTTCCGGCGTCGAACACGAGTTGGCCAGCGCGATCCCTGCCTGCCGGCAAATAATTGGCGTCTCAACGCCTCGCGAGCGCCAGGCATCATCCCTGCTTGTACCAGGGTAAGATTCTCAACGCGTTGTCGCCATCCACGCCCCCAGAGGCTCGCTTTCCCACTTGGCACTGGGGGCCGGATCCCGTCCACCGCGAACAAATAAAGGCGCCCCGGCCAGAGTGAAGACAATGAGACAAAGGGAAATCGTCGCTGCCAATCTGGACGCAGGAAGCACGAAAATCCCCCGTGATTTAGCCCCAGAAAGCATATTGCCAGTTCGTCCGACCTTCGGTGGCACGGGCACCCGTGGCACTCTGTCCTTGACGATTGTGCTCCAAGAGAGAAACGGAGTTTGACGGCTCGTTTCAAACTCGTCTCCAGCATGGCCACCACGCAGTCGAGTACGTGCCAATTATTTGGGATCCGTGGAAGGATTGTCCCTGCTAACGGTCTCCGCGTAGATCCGGCATCCACCTCGCCCACGACGCCGGTCTCTGCCACTACCGGGCTGCGGCGAAGTTGTATCTTTTGCCGTGCGCGCAAGATCCGTTGCTCCGGCGGCCACATCTGCAGTGCTTGTCGCGAACGCAATATTAACTGTGTCTACGGGCCCGAGGCCCGCAAGGGCCGCCCCCGGCGCAAACCGTCCGGTCTCGATCGTTCGCAACGACTCTCGCCGTCCACCAGCAATCCCGGCGATGCAGAATCGGGGGTGACCACGCCGACCCGGCGGCATCAGAGCCCACTAGATACCGAACGAACGCTAGGTATGGACTTGGAGCAGATGTTCACCGAATACTTCATCGAGCAATCTGGGTCCCGCTCCAATCTGTTCCAGAATTCCATCGCTGCATTCCATCGCCAGATGGGCCACTCGTCCCCTAGCCACCCATCGCCGGAGCCGCGGCCGCGGCTGCATTACGAGGGTCTTCTATCCTTCTTGGCCCATGACATGGTGGAAATGCTACTGGGATTCAGCAGTCTCGGATGCGAACGACCTCCGGCTGCCAACCGAAGCTTTTATATCACGAGCCTGGCCGCCGATACTACCCACGAGATGTTTGACTCGCCTCGCACGATGAAGAATCCCTTACCGGTCCTGGGGAAGTACCGGGTGCTTCAGATGGTAGACCTCTGGTTTTCGATGCATCCCCTCTCCCCGGTGGTTTCCAAGACGCTGCTGATCAGCGAGATCAAGGACGAAACCGTGGACCCGGCCCTGTTGGCAATCATCCTAGCCGACGCCTGCCAGGTGCATCACGGTCCCCAGACGCGGTCGCGGGAACGCGACGGCCCGGGGGCCGACCAGGAAGACCCGGACACGCTGATTCGATTTGCCGCCAGTCACCTCCGACGGCGCGCGGCGTTGTGCAGCGAGTCGGATCCGCTGTCCACGGCGCAGGCCTTGCTACTTTTGGGCTGGCGAGAGCTCTGCCTGGGCAACGCACGTCGGGGCACCTGCTACGTGGGCTACACCTGTCGCATCGTGTCTCGACTGCACAAGATGTGGGGGGACGAGTCCTCGATGGAGGTAGACAGCATCAAGTTAAATGGCATTGACATTGGGTCGGTGAAGCGGGAGATCTTGCAAAACATTTATTGGCTGTGCCTGTCGACCACAACATGGTCCTTTATGCAGATCAATCAACCGTTTTCGCTACTGCTGCCGGAGGAGATCCCCGATTTTCCCAGCATGGACGAGTCACTCTCCCCGAGTCTGCGCCTCGATCGCGCCTCCGACAATATCTCTACGTTGCAGGGACAGACTCGGACGATGCAATGGCTTTGGCCGCTAAGCCACATCACCAGCACGGTGGCCCATATCTATACGCTTTTCCTCAACGTATCTGGGAACGACGAGGCACCGCGTACGGAAATCGCCCCGTGGCAAACCCAGCACATCCACGAGCTGCATCATCTGCCCCAGGCCTGCTTCGATCCCTCCGTTCTGTCCCGCCATATTCGGCGCATTTTGTTGCAGGCCATTCAGGCCGTCGAGCGAGAGGTCACGCACCCTCCCTCGCAGTCCTTCCTGCTGACCGCGTACCATACGATCGTTATCCACATGCTCTTTGCTCGGCATCAGCGATGCCGCGAGTCGCTCCGCGTCAGACCGGTCACCGTGCATGCGTTTCTGCAATCGGCCGCCGCTCTGCTGGCTATCGCACAGCGTTCACCCCACGTCGACTCGAGTCCGGTCGCTTCGCCTCGCATGATGAGCGATCGGGGCGCGGACGTAACGCGAACTCTCGCCCTAGGTCTAGATACATGCAGTCGCACGCTGGCGCACATTCACGGACATTCTCATCAATGGATGGACGGAGGCGACGAGGTGGACGCAGCCGCGATCCTAGCGCAACTAGCGGACTTTGCCCATCAAATGCACCAGATTTGCAAGGGCAACTCCCTTCTCTCTTCCGGGCCTGTGATTCGCCCAGTCAAGAAACGGTTCAAACAGCTGAAACAAGCCTTTTCCACGTCCCCGTCGCCGACCGACGGTAGATCTCTGCCTACGTCCGTCGTCGCCGAGAGCGCCAGTCCTCTATCGGTGTCGATCGCCGACGATGCTCCGCCACTAGTGGCCGGTCGCTCATCCGGGATATCCCTGACACACTCAGCCGCCAGCCCGTCGCCGGCACTGTCGGACTGCCCAGCCGAAGTCATGGATTCTTACTTCTTCCTCGGGGATCCCGACATGGGCTCTCTGCTCGGCCTCACCGGGTTCATCAAGCCCGGCCCGGGCCCTCGTGTGGATCTTTCGCCGTCTCGGTCGAGTCCAACCGCGCACCCAACGCAATCCCATACGTCTACCTTCCCCTCTATGGACTTCCACGGTCGCGATATTCTCCTCTTCAGTAACTCCTCATCTACCAGTGGACAGGTCAGTGCCGGCGTTCAATCCGTTGCAGATCCTTATGGTGTTTCATTCCCTCAGAGAGCCCATCAGACCCCTGTTCAAACCCGTCACATATCCTCGGACTCTTTAGAATCGGCTCCGTCGGAGAGCGACATCGCCTCCCTGTACGCTGCAGAAAAAAACACCGTCCCTCATCCTTGGACGCTACCGTCTTCATGGCTGGAGCCATTTGGTACCGGGCTTCGCAATGAAACGGATGGAATTTTCCGATCGTGACTCCGATTTTAGGGTTTATGTCCTTTGCGATGACAATGATCTTTAGAACACCTGTCTCGCGTCTAGTTGATGGTTATTTTACGTCTTCCATATTTCATAATGATTTCACACTACATAGTGTACGTATTAGAATTCGGTCTGGCGATAGATACACGAAATACACGAGGCCCAAAGCTTTTCATTCCAAATCAACATCCCCAGTCTTCCGCTTATTTGAGAATCGTAATGCAAGCTGCATCGCATGAAGGAGATATTGGGTAAGTTAATGACTTTTTTTTTTTTTTTTTGGCCCAATGCAGCCTCTTGCATTTTTCAAGCTGGAGATCTCTTGTTCATACTACATTGATGGAAGAAATTGTAACTTTGGTCACCAAACCCTGTCTGTGGTATTAGAATTTGAAATCAGGAAAAGGCGACCCTGTGGTCATGTAATTCTTTCTCCTCTTCTCTTCAGTCCATCTAAACTGCTACCAAACCCGCTTATCCTAGTTTTTCTTCTTGTTTCCCCCATCCGACCGTTGGATTTGTCCCAGCTAGATGCACGTCAGTCTGAATTTGCCCACAAGTTCTATTAGACTTACTCTCTTTGACACCGGCTGGTGTCCGTACAGCCATCCTAGGTACCACATCCACGCGCTACTCGGCACCCATTGATAGATCATCGACCGTACCATTTTCCCCATGCCCAGCGGCAGTTTCGCTGTGTGTAATTGGGCATAGCGTGCCGAGAAGGAGGCCACGTCTTGAGCGCGCCGCTCTCGAAGGCGAGAGTACGACGTCAGAGCGGAGGCGTCGCCCCCAAGAAAGTCAGCGATCGAGTCGGCGAGCACGGTTGCATCTTCGATCGCTTGACAGGCTCCCTGGACCCATGAATTGCGTTAGTATGGGATCTCCTGCGATCAAAACGAGGAGGAGGACATACCTGACCAAAGAATGAGGTCATAGAATGCGCCGCTACTCTATGGTTAACCAAGACCAGTACTCCAAATAAGAAAGAAAGCATACCATCTCCCAGCAACGCAATGCGCCCTTTTGCCATGTGTGGGAAGTCAACCTCCTGAAATACATTACTCGCGATCACTCGCTCCGCCTCGTTCACGACTGCGGAAAATGACGGTTAGGAATTGTCAGGCCTGCGTGATACCCAGAGGCGAGGACTTACTGGACTTCACGGTTGAATCACGACCAAATGGGTGGAATCGCTCTCCATACACTGCATTGACGGTCTCGGCTGTCGCTCCTTTCCAGACCGAGCGATCTGGGGTCTCTCCTGGCGTGAGTTCAGCTCGCTTGACCCCGATGAACCACTGTCGATTCTCCTTGCAGGGCCAGGTTGTCAAGATGCTGTCATCATACAACATCCAGTGGCCCATCCCCAGATCGCCGGAGGTCAAATGCTCCAATGGTTGGGTGTATCCAGACATGTGGACTCGTCCTGTGAAGCGAATCGTATTCTCGGCTTTGAAGCTGGAAGAGCTAGCAAGCTGTGTCCGTCAGTAGATGACACACACTGTAGTGTAGGGAGCATACAATACGGCGAGTTGCACTCCGGATCCCATCGGCACCAGCGACCACGTTAGCGTAGATTGTCCGGCCGTCATCGCTCACCACACGCACCGGCGTGTGCGCATTTTCATCGTCTACGATGTCTACCACGTTCCATCCGAATCGCACCGACTCTGCGCCGCCGGCTGCCTCGTACAGATACCGATGGAATTCATGTCGCTCGATGGAATGTACATTGTATCCGAACCAGCGCTTCGCAAGCCCGAAGTTGATGGTGCCCCAGCAGTCCTTTTCGCGGTACACTCGAATGCCGAGAAGCTCCTGTGAATTGGCTTGGATAGCCTGCAGGAGGCCCAGCTGCTCCAGTACGCGCAAACAGTTCGGGGCGAGAGAGATCCCGGCTCCCTGGGGCGTCACGACGGGCGCTCGCTCAAGGATGACAAAGGGGATCTCGAGGCGGCGTAGGATGGCGCCCAGAGTGAGTCCGCCGATGCCTCCGCCGATGATCACCACGGGAACGTGCTCGGTCATGATGATGGATGGATGAAGGGTGAAGCGCTCTATTGAATGAAGACTACGCACTCGCCTCTGGGCAATATTTAACCATGGTCGATGGTCAGCGTTACGCAGACTTGCATGGGCCCGTCCGAGGAAAAGGCCCGTTTGCGCACGGAGGCGGACGGCAGCTTTAGGGCTCCCGGTGTATGCAAGAATGCCGCGATGAACGTAATACGTATTTACTATTCTAAAAATACACTCGATCATTCTATACGACCCAAGACATTCCTGAGGATCAGCGTCAGCTCATCGGCAAACCCCTCGTCAAAACAACCGTCGTGCATCGCGCGAAAGGGCACGGTGGCAAAGCTCTTGAACTGCTGGGCTGACCATCCGTTCGTCGCATTTCCGTTAATTTTCCGGGCGAATTCGCGCCGCTTCTCCCGTAGCAAGGGGGACAGGGTTCCTAGCGTGTCGCATTTGATCAGCGTTGCGCTCGTGTTCGGCAGCAGAGGACGCTGGCTGCCGGGATGTGTGGACCGATACGAGGACAACATCCGGAGGCCGTGATGGATGTGCTGGCGCAATCGACCGTAGAATTTTACCATCGAGTTGTCCCCGTCTTCGTCGTCGTCGCTATCAACTTCCCCGTCTGAGCTTTCTCGGCTCGTATCACTGCTGCTGCTGCCATCCTCGTCGCGCAGCGGTGCACTGGCGGACTCCTCGGGGGCATTCAGGCGGCGGGCGATGGCATTGTAGGTGATAGTGGCCACGACGTGATGCTCGCGCGTGTCTTGAAATGGCGGGTATAGCGAGGGATTCAACGAATCGATCAGCAGAACATGTGGCACCGTCTCGCCTTCTGCGGTCAGAATGGCGGCCATCTCCACGGCAATCATTCCCCCCATGGACCACCCGCCGAGTAGATACGGCCCCTTGGGTTGGATATCGCGACGAAGGATTGATACGTAGAGCGCGGCCACTTCGAATAGGCTGCCGGGCGCGGCAAATGGCGATCCATGCTCGTAGATGGGAGCGGAGATCCCGTATACCGGTCGGCCTTCTTGCGGATTTTGGTCTTCGCCGGGATACGATAGAGGCCCGAGGGCGAAATAGGGTAGCGCAAGGCCGGAGATGGCGTGAACGAGAATCAGCGGCGTCAGCGGCGAGTCGGGACTGCCCTGGATGTGCATGACGGAGTCCATTGCGCGTGGTAGAGTTAATTGCTAGCCGGTGATGGTGGTCCTTCTCCGTCGCGATCTCTGCATTTCTTCCCACGCTCAATCTCAGTCTCTTTTATGGGCCCAGAAACAATATGAATCGGCGCGCCGCTCCGCGCCTCAGCGGCCCATTTTTTAGGGCTGACGATCTAGTCAGCACTACGTTCGAGGCTCCGTTGCGACACGGGGATTAGCAGTTGGCGCCGCATCGACAGGGGCCACTAGGGCTTGCTGATGGTGCATATAACGTGGCAGAAAGTTCATGCGGATGACAGATGTCCGATCACAGTCGCCATATTTGTTCTTCTCTCTAGATCTACACAGCGATGAAATTTCTCGTCACTCTAGGGCTCCTCGGCGGTGCCCTTGCTGCCCCGGCTCCGGAGTCGGGCAAGCATAGAGCGCAGTCATTCGACATGCCTTTGCAATGGACACCGTTCGGCTTCACGACTGATGCCATCACGATCGGCAGTCCGCCTCAGAAGGTGGACTCCTTCGTTGACTGGACCTGGATCGGTCAGTATGTTTTCACACCGCGCTGCCATGGGAGCCTGTCGAGAATGTACGAGTGTCTGCAACCGTCGCAGGCGCTATTCAACCAGACTGAATCCCACACTTTCGTCAATCAGACTCGTCTGTTCCCCAATCGCGTGTGGAACCCGAATCACTTCTTCTTCTACGACGATCTCTCCGTTGGGTTCGGTTCCGACATCCAGCGGGTGGGCCAGCAAAGCGCTCGAACCACCCTGCAGCTGGCCGACATGCACTTCAAGCTCGACTTTGCTTATCCTTTCTCCGGGGTCTACGGTCTCTCGCCTGTCTTCAACAAGGACAATGCTTCGACGCAGTCGCCCTTCTACCAAATGTGGCGGCGCGGCGCCTATCGGTCGCCCATCACTTCATTCCAGTACTGCTACAACAGCACCTTCGGCAATCCAGCACCCGCTCGCGAGCGTTGTGGCGGGCATGACGGTCTTCAGACGCTAGGAGGCCTGTCGCCGGCTCTGGCGAAGCCAGGACGTGATGCTGCATCCTCCATCTTGTGGTACAAGAATATCTTCTTCCCCGTGGTGAACGACATCAATTTCGAGTACGATCCACCGGTGTACAATTACTGGGCTGTACGCTTGACCAAGCACCTCATCGGCGACGAGGAACAAACTCTGAACACCACCTACGGTGGCAACCCTGGGGCCATCTTCGACCACGCCAGCTACGGCCACGGCGTTCCCATGTCCGTGAACAGCTACAACCGGCTGATCCAAATCACCAACGGCCAACCTCTTTCTATAGAGAAGGACCAGCTGCCAAACAACGGAAACCAAACTTTTGTATCGGTGGATTGTGAGAAGGTGTCCTCATTTCCGCCTCTGAAGTATCAGTTTCAGGGTCATGATCGACTGTGGGAGGTGATCCCGGAGAACTACGTGGAGAAACTGTCCCTGCCGAACGCGACGGAGCCCACCTGTGTGTTGAACGTGCGTACCTTGGGCGAGGGAAACTTTGTGATTGGGAATTTTGGCGACACATTTGCGAAAGATAAGATCGTGTTGTTTGATTTCGAGAAGATGAAGGTTGGGCTTGCGGATATGCCGAGTTAAAGGGAAGGACAGTCGTTATTATTCCTCGTCAATTAGATGTTCTTTGTAGCTATGAAGGTGTATATAGGTACATTGGACTTTGGAATGGAAGGACAGAACTATTCACGCTTCTGGATCGTTACTAGACTACACAAGCGCTACGGTGTTTACTGTGTGGATGAAGAGTTCGTTGTTTGAATCCCGAAAACACTCATCAATAGGTCTGTTAAAAAACTCCAAAGAACACTGACAGACAGATAGAAGAGCATTTTCTAACTATGAAAGATTCGAGAAAAGGCTTTTATAGAAAGCGAGGTGCTGCGACTGCTTGGTGGCAGCCCTTGAGCACGTCTGAGATAGAGCGATAACGGTCTCTAATACTAGAAAAAAAGAGGCAAATGATACAAGTTTGTCACACGGCTTGAAAGAAATTGCGACTAATTACCCATCGCGATCCAGCTAACAGAACGGTCCCTGCCAGAAGGATTACGCCAGCAAAATTAATCAGACCGGAATATCCGCCGTTTTCAGTCGAGATGAGGGCGCCGCCGATGGGAGCACCAGTCAGAACGCCCACGGAGCAGACGGCCATCATGACGCCAATTTTGATGCCAATTATCTGCATGTTATCTGTTATCTGGGCCACGCAGGCTGATTGCAGCGAAATCAACCCCCCGGAGAACAGCCCGTACAGAACGGCAAAGGTCACGATGCTGCCTTTGTCACACATGACGTGCAGGCAAAACAAAACGATTCCCGAGAAAAGCGAGCAGATTATGGCCATATTAAATCTAAACCCCATATTAGCGAAGCTCGTTTCGAATATCTGGATATGATGCGTGACATACCTTCCCATCTTGTCCGCCAGCCCCCCAGATACAACGCGACCGACGAGCGAGCCGGCATTCAGAATAGCAACGAGGTCGTTGGCGAAAACAGCGTCCACTCCCTGATGTATGGCGTACAGGGGAAGGTAGTAGAATGGAACGAACATTCCCCACATGACGAACAGCATGCCCGCGACGAGCAGTAAAAATCGCGCGTCTTTGAAAATGGCCATCACCTCGGCTTTGGGCACGTCGCTCGCCTTGGTGGGTGGCAAACGAGGCACGACCATCAGACATGCCGGCGCAAGTAGGCTTAGTGACATGAACCCAATAATGCGGAGCGTCCAAGCAAAACCAACGGCGCTAAACAACCGGTCTAAAATCAGCGGCCAGGCGATCCCTCCGAGAGACGAACCGGCCACGACAATACCCAAGGCCAGACCCCGTCGACGGTGAAACCAATGCGGAATGGCGGAAATTGTGGGATAGAATAACATAGCATCACCAATTCCGAAGAGAAGGCTCTGTGCCAGAATGAACTGGTAGTAGTTATGGCACAGACTGATGAACATCAAGGACAGGGCGAAGAATATCGTGCCGGGCACAAACAGGACCTTGGCGCCTTTCGTGTCGAAGACAGGGCCAAAGAACACGCCTCCTATAAACAACAGAAAGATTTGAATGGAGCCAATCCAGGAGATTGTGCTCTCGCTGTGACTGGCGAGGATGTGCTCCCCGTAGTAGGCCTGGAAGGTGCCAAAGGAATTAAGAAGGCCTACAGCGCCGTCAGTAGGGTTGCTTTCACTCGATCTATCTCGAGGCATAGTCACCAAATGTCACAAAGTACGTCAAGAATCCTCCGACCACGACCATCCAGGCACGCAATCCGCCATCAGGAGGGCCCGAATCCGCGTCTGGAGCAACCAGCGTTTCCGCCGAGGTGTGTTCTTTCTCCGACATCGACATTTTCTCAAGTATTGAAGGATACCAGGGCTGGAATGTAATAGAACAAATCTGCGGCTACTAAAATATGCAGGGAGGATTCACCTCTTCAATCAGGCCATTTTTAGGTCGACGGCGACGCGGACGTTTAATGGGCGGCGTTAGGGCTAAAAGTCTCCGCCGTCCGTCGGAGAGAAACACCGCCGTCGATCTGAGTCAGACGCGGCCTGGAGAAGAATCCGATGTCATGGAGAAAGTGCAATATATATCAAGCTGGTTTCTTCGATGTATAGTGATGTAGATTGGGAACCATCCGCCCACTCAACTGTGTTGTATGATCGATCAGTCACCATGTACACCTCGGACCTGGAATCCGTCCGCCTCAGCCCGAGTGTCGTTCCCCTTGGAGCGATGACACTCGCAATCCTGCTTCTTTTGAGGTATCTGCTTTCCTCAAGCAAGCTGCCCTCGGTCTCGGTGGGCCTTCCCATCTGGGGCAATCTGGTTCACTATAGCAAAGACCCGGTGTCGTTTATTGCTACGGCCACCAAACACTATGGGCAGTGCTTCACCGTGCCCATGCTACTGGGACGCACCGTCTGGTTGCGCAGTGGTCAGTTGAACAAGGAGTACTTGGAGACCCGCGAGGTACGATATTCCCTATCACATCAGTGTCGGTTATGATTTCTGACTTATAGAAACCATAGGACGTTTGGTCCTTTGGGGACGGGATGGGCTTCTTCCTCAACAAGATCGTCATCCCCGGATATTTTAGCCATCTTCGCACATTCGTTGGCTCACTAAGTAAAGGAATCTCGAGGCAGGTGACACTGGATCACTACGGTCAGGTTGCGCAGCAGGAGACCGTTAAGTCCATGGTCAACTGGTCCGAAATTGCTGAACGGGGACAGTCCATGGAGCTGTTCGAGGAGGTCTCGTTCCTCGTCCACAAGATCATTGTTCGCTGTCTGATGGGCTCGGACTTCTACGATCATCATGTCATCGAACTGTTTGATCTGCTTCATTCGATGGAGGAGAATGTGGGCAGCATACTGCACACCATTCTACCGGCCTGGATTCCTCATACTCCGGCACGGCGACTATGGGCTGCGCGCGATCGCATCCGCCAGATTTTTGAGCTGCGGCTACAAGAGCGAGATAAGCATCCGGAAGAATGGCGTGACTCTCTGGATTATATCTCCTATACGCTCCAGGACCCGTCGACGGCCCATCTGAGCGGTTTCTACGGGGCTCATCATACCCTGTTGATGTTTGCTGCCCATACGAGTACGGTGGCCAGCATCTCGTGGACCATTCTAGAGGTATGATTGAACCACATCCGTATTTGATACACTTTCTTAGCGTGGCGTGCGTATCATGTTGACGAGTAACTTTGCTTCAATAGCTTCTCAAATCCCCTCAGCGCTTGCAGACCCTGCGTGAGGAGCTGGCATGCAATCCGAATGTTGAACAATGTGCTTTTCTGGATGCTCTCGTCAAAGAGACTGGTCGTCACTACTCGGGAAACGCCGATGTTCGCTGGACACGACAGGCGAAAACTCTTCGCAATGTTCCCGAAGAGATTACTATCCCAGCAGGCACGGTCGTCTCCATCTCGCCCTATCTCACGCATCATGATCCGGAGGTATGGTCCAATCCGAGCATCTACTACCCCGAGAGGTGGGTTGAGCAGCCAGACCTGGTCAAGAAATTGAATGACGGTACGCAACTGCGATACATCCCATTCGGCGGAGGCAGTCATCGATGCCCCGGAGAGAAGATGGCCACCATGATCTCTAAGTTGGTCGTCTCGACCGTCGTTCAACACTGTGAGCTGGACTGGGGATGTGGTGGGAAGTCTCAGGATACGACGACACTGGATTTCTCCAAAGTGGGCAGTCCGTGGTTGAAAGGGGATGTTCACGTCCGCATTCAGAAGACGCCCTAGGCATTCTCGTTGATGACAATGAGGATAACACACAAAATTAACTATTATTATCTTTTTCATCGTCTTTTTTTTTTCCTTTGCAAAAGGAAAAGCTAGAGTTCAATGCTCAGCTGCCCGCGTAAACCAGAAACATTTTATACATATGAGGGGGCTACTTCTGCATGGGTTTTTTAGTCATATCGGTACTGGCAGGCACCCTCAAGTGTTAAGGGCTCTAAACTCGGATCATAATGTTCATCCTCTTCCCAAATCAGAAGTCTCGACAGTAGTAGGTTGGGCTTGAAACGTGGGCAATGATATCTTCAGTTGAGACTAGGATGGCGGGAAATTCCCTGGGTAGCAGTATTCCATAATACTTTATTGTTCGCAACATATGTCCTCCCGAGTTACATGGATTACATGAAAGTAGATCGGTAATCATTGTAAATTGCATTATTTACTAAGGCGAATGTAGAAGAGTGATAGACTGGATTCTCGACTATATACAATGGTCGTCCTTATGGACAGGCCACATGCCTGGCAGCCCAATCTCTAGCACTGGATTCCTCTTGGCACCGATGCAGGAATGGAAAATGGATTGGTAAAAAATTCCTCTGGGTCATAGTTCTTCTTGATCGAGATCAGACGGCAAACATTGTCTCCGTAATAGGAGACAAGAGGGTTGGTCGAGATGTCTGCATCCATGTAGCCCGAATAGCTCGCCGGGCCAACCGCAGGGCGTAGGAAGGATTCCAACTCTCCGAACCAATTCTCGTAGGTGTGTTGCTGGGTTTGGTTCTCCGATCCGTGGATTTGGAATTCCAGGTGAGCGTAGGCCTCTTCTCTCCATGGGAAAGCATTCTTGCTGCCGAGGGTCTTGCGCGGAATATTCCACGAGTGCCACTCTCCCCAGATCTGACTGTCTTCATCCAGCTGGCCGATACGGCCCACGACACCTCGAAGTACTTCATCACTGAGCGGACGGCTCTTCTGTACAAAGAAAGACTTACTCAGTCGATAGAAGCGCTCCCAGGGTGCTGCCGGGCCTATAGTGTTGGACTTGCGTTCCTCATTGTATTGGAACTGAGGATGATTGCCCACTTGAGTGAATGGATCGGGAACCACGTTGAGAATTGATGCGTCCACCTGGTCGTCGGGTAAGCAGTCCATGGTTGTATATCCAAAAGTCCGAGCGTTGTCAACATTACAACCGCCGGCAATGACCACCTCGGGATGGTCAATATCCAATAAGCCAGACGCATTAACGAGACCACGTAGGTCCTGCGCCGACCGGCCGTAATGCATGGCTATCACCTGCACCGTGTCGTGATAAACGTTGATTTGTGACATGAACGCCGGTTCCTGCTTCGGAGCCCAGTCCAGAAATCGGCGGGCAACAGGGAAGCGAGCCTCGGTGTTGTTCCAGCTCAGAAGCAGCATGGCGGATCGAGGCACTTTGGTCAGAGACAGCGTAAACTCCACCACGATGCCGTATGTGCCACCGCCGCCCCCACGAATGGCCCAGAACAGGTCAGGATGCGACTTTGGGGAAGCAACGATAGTCCTTCCATCTGCAGTGACAACCTTGGCCGCGAGAACGTGGTCGACTCCTAGACCTTGGGTTCGCTGTTGCATGTTGAATCCCCCGGATCCGATGAAGCCTGCCAGTCCGACCGTGGGACAAATTCCCCCTATAAAGGACGTGTCATATTCGTTCAAGGCGGTATAGAGAGCGCCCAGGCGGATTCCCGCGCCTACAGTGGCCGAGCGACGATCCCGGGAAACCTTGACTTCGTTGATATGGGCGATATCAATCACAAGAGTGTCGTTTAGAGAAGAGAACGCCGTGAAACTGTGGCCACCAGAGCGAGGAACAGCCTTCACGCCAGCCTTCCTGGCACATTCCACCAGCTTGCCGACCTCTTCTGCTCTTTCTGCGTAGGCGATCAACAGCGGAAACTCGGTAAACTGGATTTTCTCGCCCAGGCGTGCGTCCAGATAGGTGTCGTCCGCGGGGCGAACGATGCGCTGAGACGCCGTTGTGGAGAAGATCTTAGAAACACAGCTGTAGAGATCTTGGGCTTGTCTGGATCGAGAAGAGGTCTCCTGGCCAAGACAGGTGGTGGCGGCTAAAGCCAACATGGCAAGAGAAATCCGCATGGTTGCGAACAATGGCAATGGAAACAGAAGACAGATGACGATGGGATTGATACTATCTGGAAGATACTAACCCGGCCAGCTTTCTCAACAAAGGCTTTATATGTCAGAGTAGCGGAAGAAGAGCCCCCATTCTCGTATTAATTAGTTCCGCGGAAGAGAAGGTTCGTATGCGCCCATTCTAGGCTCTAGTTATATTATGTGTCTGTAGCATGGAAAAGATTAGTGTGTTCGGCTGGACTGTCAAGCGTTGCCTGCTTATACTGGTCCATAAGGTGATGCGATTCAAAATGGTTTATCAACGAGTATCCAGTCAATAGAATACAAGAGAACCACTTCATTCATTTTTACTTTTTATGATGGGCCACGAGGGGCTTCCTGCAGATAGGACATTATGAGATCCTCAAGGCTGAGCCTAAAGCCCTGCAAGAGGCAAATTACGACGCATGATCCTAAACGGCCTTGAGTTACCTACAATTTCTTGAGTACGAATGTCTCGTAGCACCCTCAGACATTGAAAAAGCGGCTGCAGCAATGGACGGCTGACGGGGGCCTAACCATGTGGCCCCGGGATGATCTTCATCTCGGTGGCAACTAGTAACGTAGTATTATGAGCATGCAGATAAATATAGAGTGATCATCGATTTAGGCCTCCGTTTCCGAACGGAAGTCATCACGGAGCATCCTGTCCGGCCACATGGGTGCTGATATGCATCGTTAGCGCCTCGTATTCCTTCCGATATGCTTGCTTACTTCCTTGTATCCGAACCGAAAAAACCACCTTTATGTTTGAAATAAGAATGTGCAGCACTCAAAATTCTCCGTGGGTACAGATCGGTAGATCGTCATATCGCTGGATCCGTTGAATTGCGGCGATTTTGCTGATCCGAGCTGGATCATTGAGAAAGTAACGGAGGTTGTAGAGCATTGTAGCATAATATGAAAGGCGAGGATTCCTGTCAATCTTTTCAAAAATCAGTGTTCGTTTGCTCAGTATAAATCAGGTGGTTAGAGCCATAACTTTAATCTCGTTGCGCGCTTTGGCTTGTAGGATAATCGGGTGCAGGAAAAAAGACTCTCCAGGTAAACTCCCTTCCTCTACTGACTCTCAGCCCACAATGTCGATGCATTTCGAGCACCCTAAGGCCTCACAATCCGAATCTACGAAAGGGGTTTCCGGCGAGCCACCCCAGATGGAAAGCCAGACCGAGGCCGCCGACCGCCCATGTGTAATTGGCATGGCGTGCAGAGTCCCCGGTGCATCATCTCCTTCAAAGCTGTGGGATAACCTCATCAACAAAATTGATCTACAACGGAAGATGCCCGCGGACCGATTCAATGTCGATGCCTTCTATCATCCAGATGGCACGCACAAAGGCTCGGTTTGTATTCCCTGGGTATACCCTGAACCTTACCAAGGCCTGTTGCTAAAAGCTGCTAGACCAATGCCAAATATGGCTACTTCCTTGATCAAGACATCGGGCTGTTCGACGCCGGCTTTTTTAACATCTCCGGCAAAGAGGCTACGGCCATGGACCCCCAGCAGCGTTTGTTGCTCGAAGTTGTCTATGAAGCGCTAGAAAATGGTAAGTTGCAATCGACGCTAGTTTGAGATGGAAACCCTGACAAAAATATCAGCTGGTATCACATTGGACGAGATCCAAGGCTCGCAGACGTCCGTGTACTGCGGCTGCTTCACCAACGACTACAACGCCATGACCACCAAGGATCTCGAGTATTATCCAAAGTACACTGTCACCGGCACTGGAAACTCAATTCTGGCAAACCGCATCTCGTACTTTTACGATCTTCACGGCCCCAGTGCCACCATTGATACAGCCTGCTCTTCATCGCTGGTCTGTTTCCACATGGGTGCCCAGTCCCTTCGGGCCGGTGAGGCTGATCTTTCGATTGTCGTTGGATCCGCATTGCATTTTGATCCCAATATCTTTATCACGATGACAGACTTGGGGATGCTGTCTACCGATGGGCGCTGCCGCCACGGCGACGCTTCGGGTAGCGGCTATGTTCGCGGCGAGGGAATCACCGCCATGGTTCTCAAACGTCAGCGACAAGCGGAAGCCAGTGGGGACTCCATCCGCGCCGTCGTGCGTGGAACTGGGGTCAATCATGACGGTCGCAAGCAGGGAATTACCCTCCCATCTGCGCAAGCGCAAGCGGCACTCATTCGCAGCACGTATCAGAATGCCGGGCTGGATCCGGCAGACACCACCTACGTCGAGTGCCACGGCACTGGCACCAAAGCCGGGGATCCTCGAGAATTGAGAGCCATCAGCGATGTGTTCTCGCCCGGGCGCAAAGAGCCCCTGTTCGTCGGCTCAATCAAAACCAATATTGGTCACCTTGAGGGTGCCTCGGGGGTGGCAGGACTGATTAAATCCACGCTGGCTCTCGAAAAGAGGACCATTCCCCCTAATATGCATTTTCACGCTCCCAACCCGGACGTTGAGTTTGAAAACTGGAAACTTGAGATTCCGACGAACCCCAAGGATTGGAAGGTCAAGAACAGCGAGATCCCCCGACGTGTATCGATCAACTCCTTCGGATACGGCGGGACAAATGCCCATGTTATATTGGAAGAATACACCTCGGCCGTACCGCTTCCTGACGCATATGACATGCCCGCAAGCCTTGTGCACATGGTTCAAAAGAGACCATACCTAGTGCCCTTGTCCTCGCACTCCGAGAAAGCAGGAAAACTCATGGCAGACAAGCTTGCAGCATACCTCCAGAGTGATGTGAAGGTGAGCCCCGAAGTATTTGCCATGGCTCTGTCTCAACGTCGAACGATGCACCGATTCCGCTCTTTCGCAATTGGCCCGAGCACAGAATCACTCGTGAGGAGTTTGGAGGAACCAATTCCGGCGGCTCAATGGAAAAGCAAAATGGGAGCTGTTCCGCGAGTTGGGTTTGTATTTACCGGACAAGGCGCGCAGTGGTTCGGAATGGGACGGGCTCTGATAGAGCAATGTCCTCTCTATCTCCAATCATTGCAGAAGTGCGATCAGATTCTGCAGTCACTTGACGAGCACCGACCGTCATGGTCGATTGTTACAGAGCTGCTCCGGAATAAGGACGACACCAAACTGGGTCAGACGGAGTATTCGCAACCGATTTGCACTGCCATCCAGCTAGCGCTGGTCAATGTTCTTTCCCAGTGGGGAATCAGACCCTCGAGTGTAGTCGGTCACAGCAGTGGAGAGCTAGCTGCTACTTATGCTGCTGGGATTCTCTCGTTCGAGAACGCTTTGGTTGCCGCCTACTACCGTGGTGTACACATGGGTAGCGGCGCCGCTGCTCCCGACAGCATTCCTGGCGCCATGATGGCGGTTGGAATGACCGAGGCCGAGGTAGACGCCGAGCTGAAGCCTTATGCCGGGCGCGTTGCAGTTGCCGCCATGAACAGCCCGTCCAGCTTCACCCTGTCTGGTGATAGTGATGCAATCGCAGAGCTACATGAGAAGCTAAGCGAAAGGAAGGTGTTTGCCAGGCGTCTGCAGGTCGCACAGGCGTAAGTCTCCCAGTATTCTCTCATTCAATCATATCAATGCACTGACTCTTCGCAGGTTTCACAGTCACCATATGTATCCCCTGGCCCCAGGATACGAGCAGGCTCTAGCTAAATACCCGGGGTTCAAGGCAAATAAGGTCGCAAGCGCGTCAATGGTGTCTAGTGTGACCGGTAGGAAAGCAGATCCCAGCGCTATGGGCCCTGCATACTTCGCGGCCAACATGACGGGAATGGTCAAGTTTTCCGATGCTCTGACGGAGACCGTTCTTGACGAGGAAGACCAGCAGAATGTCGACATTCTGGTCGAATTGGGCCCTCACCCGGCCCTCAAAGGCCCTGCCAACCAGACAAATGATCATTTGAAACTCAAGATCCCATACATCGGGACGCTCGATCGCAAGCAAGACGCTTATGAGAGCCTTCTTACCGCTGCCGGTCAACTTTTTGCGCTCGGCTATCCTGTGCATCTAGAAGAGGTCAACCGGAACCACTTCATTGAGGTTTCTTCCGGGAAACTCGTCAGCCCTAATCTCCCCAACCCATCGCTCGAGTTGCCAAGTTATGCATGGGATCATGAGCGATACTGGGGTGAGACGCGTGTGATCAAAGAGCATCGCCTCCGTCCCTTTCGACACAGCATCCTGGGGGCGCCGATACCAGGTTCACTTGCTAACCGCCCCCGGTGGCGAAATTTCCTGCGTATCTCAGAGATGTCTTGGTTGGTAGATCATTCCATCGACGGGAAAGTAGTCTTCCCAGGTGCCGGATACATCAATATGGCTATGGAGGCTGCTGCTCGCCTTGGCCGTGGTTTGGCCGGTGGCATTAAAACTATTTCGCTAGCAGATGTTTCGGGTAAGTCGACATCCACACTCCTTCAGATAGATGTTTTGAACCTAATGTGAGCCGCAGTCAAATCCGCGCTCGTAGTGAGCGACCATGAGGTGGGAACTGAGGTGATTGTAGAGTTGTCACCTGTTGTGGAGTCTGCGAAGACCTCGTCATCCACGTGGAATAACTTTGTTATTTTCTCGATCGACGAGTCCGGCAATCAACGTGAGCATTGCACTGGAATGGTTAGAGCGGAGCTAGGGGACCCAGAAGCTCTCCCCTTCGACCATGAATCCAACGTGGGAGCGCAGACTTTCCGCTGCGTTGGGCGCGAGCAATATTACCATCGTCTTCACTCGATGGGACTCCAATACGGCAAAACATTTCAACTTCTGTCAGGAAACATCGACAGTGGACTTGGAAATGCGACCGCACCAATCTCCTGGCAGCCAGACTTGTTCTCTCGAGAGAACAGTGATCTCTGCATTGTTCACCCGGCTTTCTTGGATGCTGCATTCCATCCTGTATTTGCGTCAATTGAGGGCAAGCTAGGCCGGACAATTAAGGAGCCGTACGTTCCAACTTTTGTGCGCTCCATGAAGATTTCTGGGCTTCTGGAAGCGTGGAAAGGTTCGACGAG